GAATAAAACCCCAGGAAGTTAAGAGCTGAAAAAGTGAAAGTAATATGGTAAATGTGTATGGGAATGCTACACCGGCTTTGAAAGCTCCAACCTTTTGAAAGGCAGTTCAAAACGGGCTATTTATTCATCCCCATTCTCAATCATAGCTAAACAGAATAGATTGATACATGTACAGCTTGCATTTTCGACCGTAGTAATTTGGAGTTGAAAGTAGGTGTGGATAAGTAAATGCATATTGTATTTATTCTGCATAGAACCATGTGTGGATGTCGTGTGCGTGTTGAGCTGTCGACTGGAGAGAAGCGCTCCAGGAGCCGCGGCCCTCCTCCATCATGGAGCAGACGACCCCGAGATGATTTTAGGCGACGTAGTCCCCCAGTCAGACGCAGGTATGCTTTCTACTCCTTTCAGTTACTCTAAATTTACTGAAACAGAACCAGTTTAGGGCTCTTAAATCTTTTTTATCTTAATTTATCGTCGCAGTTCAATCCAGCTTAAGATAGCGATCATAAATGACATCTAATTTTTTTACATATAATAAAAAATAATCCATGGCCATTTTCACAAAATCTTTCATACTTGTGGTGCCTCGTCGAAAATTCTGAATACTCTGTAAGGCAGCTTTAGCCTTTTGACCTAGAAGCTGTAGCAAAAAAGGCCTTCATCTAAATGATTGAGTTCATTGTAAAAGTCTTCAATTTAACCACTTTTTTTTTTTTTTTTTTACTGCTTTTTGTTTGGAGTTTGTCAGATCAAAATAAAGCAGTGCCCTACCAGAAAACTGACGTTTAAAACATGAGTGTTGGTCTTTAATTAAAACCTTTGTTGAGCAAACCAGAAAAGCCGCATGAACATGCTCTCCACAAAGTGCATTTTGGTCCTCCTCTATATTGAAGACACTGCTGGAAAGGGTGCTAACATTAGGTGCCTTGCTATCCCCTACAGGCAGTTGGTAAGGGTTGCTGTTTGGGTAGCTTTTTCCCTATTCTGCAAGAGACCAGGAAACAATGGTAAAAAAAAAATGGTGGCATATTGCTAATGTTGCTTATGCTACATCCACGTGAACTGGCATACAAACAGGTCAAATTCGAAAAGGTAATATACCTATTCTTAATATTTAACCATGCCTATGCTGCCATGAGTGGCGTGGTTACACCGAAGTAAGGAACTTTGTGGAGGGAAAAGGTTTTAGGAACATGAAGAGCATGGTGAGGCAGCAAACACAGGATTGAGACGTATTGTGGACCTGTAGTTAACAAGGATGTCCAGTTTTATTTGTTCATTGCAGACTCAGCAGTGGAGCAAAATATATTTGAAATGCAACATAGAAACGGAAATGCCTTTTGAGTATTTCTTACCTCTTTGATTCTTCAGATTTTTCTATTTAAAGATGTTTTGTGAATATGGCCATGTTTATTTCTCTATAGGTATATGAAATTCGGCATAAAGGACATTTTTATGGTGTTTTGCATTGAAGTAAAGTATTTTTTAGTTATCCCACCTGTTTTCCCCTTCCTAAAAAGGCTGTACCAAATCCAGATGCCTGCAAGGGAGTCTATAACTCCCAAAATTGTTTTTTTTTTTCTGTCTTTCTGTTTTTTCTTTCATATATAATTTAAACATAAGTATCTGAAGTTGTATTTATTTATTTATTTATTTATTTATTTATTTTGAGTTCAGTTGCCATTTTATTAATAAAACTGAACCCCATTGCAGAGTCACCACCACGCTTCTCACCATCTGAGTCAGTCAACTAGTCTTCTTTCAGCATCATGTGATGGCTGACCAGCGAGGCTGGTGTTGTCACATGACCCAGGCGCCACCGCCAGCCATCAGGTCCCATCAAACTTTTGGTTCCTGAGCATGCAGTTCCCAGCCTCCTCCTGTGCGTCCTCCGACCTATATCCGAACAACAGTGGTCCACTTCAAATTATCAACCAATCATCTCCTTTACCCTTTCTATGCTCTACAATCTGCTGTATCAATGGGAACAGCCGCTGGGTTACATCAGTCAGTATTCTTCACTCCCCCCAAAATAAAGCAGGAAAAAAAATCTACAGCTACAACACCCCCCCCAACCACTCACCAAGCAACTTCTTAAGTGCAACATTTGCATCATGTGGCAATTCCTCTCTGCAATTCGACCTCCCTCACCATCAGTCTGGCTTCCTTGCGTCATTTCTATCTTGTCTAAACCCCAAAAAATAGTAAGTTGCTTTTATCCTGCTTTTTGTAGTTATTATATCTTATGGATCTTTCAAAGCTCCTGAGCAGTTCTATTCTTTGATCAAGTGTGTCTTTATAGAAAAAAACTCTTCTAAAACACAATTGGCAGTTCCAAAATGTTCACTTGCAAAATCTAATGGGTGTATTTTAAAGGCTCGACATCAGGGCATCTTGGGTTGTTTTTCTAAACTGCAAATCCTTTCACACTTGTGTTTTTATTAATTTAAGCCTCACAACATATGAATAAACATCAATATTAAAAACAGGAAGTGCACTGTAATGTAAGATCTGAGTGGAAATATCAGAAGGCTAATGTGGCTTAAGGAAGTCTTTATGTCGAGCCCCAAAATCTGGTTTGTACATAGAAATGTCTACATGATGGTCCATTTTGAATCATTTTTTTTATGAGCTGGCTTTGCTGCAGTTCATGAAGCCAATCCTTTTAAATAATGGGAAAATAAGTGTGCCCACCCTCCAGTTTTTACCTCATGCCCCTTTGGGATCCAATACCCAAAGGGTTCAGTATTGACATGGAAAGTATAGCCTTCTCTGAATTTGTTTCAATTTTGTTTTTTTTGTTTTTACACAATACACTTCATAGATCACCCAGGAGGAGAAGCCTGAGTCGCAGTCGCAGCAGGTAAGATTAAGAAGAACTATATTTAAATTATGCATTTATATGATGAAATGCAAACATTTTTATTTTACCTTCAGGTCTGTGTCACGAGAAAGACGCAGATATCGGTCTTTGTCCAGAGACAAGAATCGTAAGCGTTCACGATCCTTCTCCAGATCAAGGAGGTACAGTTAAAGCAGATCACATCAAAGCATGGGCTGGTTGGAAATTATTTGATTAAAAATAAAAAATGTATATCTTTTCATGGTTTAAAATTCTTTGATTGTAATAAGAGAATAGCTTAAAAAGCCAAGGGCCACCTTTTGCCATGGGACTGAAAGATGGCCACCAGATATATCTTTTGTTTAGGAGATTAATTTGGCTGTTTGGAAATATTTTTGGCCATAATAGTAATATCTCATTACTGTTACTATGCTTTCAGGTCACTGTGGTAAGTAAAATTAAAAAGCCTTCATACTAAACATAAAGCAAATATTTACCGTTTTCAATTTCTTATTACGCAAAGAATACGAATTATCAGTTTAAAATCAGATTAATGACCATATTTTTCTCAATCAAAAACCCCTACTTTGTAAGATAGTATTATGATGAGATTGTCATACTCATGAAATATATTTATTGAATTAATAAATTAGAGCTAGTCAATGAAAACCAAGATTAACGATATACTCTTCGGTACCCCGCTGAAGTTTTTAATTTTGCACTAAAGCTGCAGTTTTATATACGGGGCATAATTTTTGGCATAGGTGGAAAAAGAGGTTAAAATAATAGAAATGAGCACATATGTGAGCCAGCAACCTTTGGTTTGGTTTGTCAGCTTTGCCACATTTAAATGACTTAGTGACACACAATTATTAAGACTGAACACGTATCTTACTTTATTTGGCCTCATCTGCAGGCAATGAAAGCAAAAGTCAATTATTAATGAATTGGACAGATAAAGTTAATTTCTCCTTGGTTCTGTGTTTCATGCCGGGCTCCTCAGTCAGCGGTAGGAAGTTTCCAGTTAAGTCCGACACTAGTTACCAACTTTTGTTTGTGGGACATTGCTCAATTAATGTTGAAAGAGTAGTTACATTTATTTTTTTCACACACAAAAATATTGTTTAAGAGAGAATTTATTTCCAAGACGATAATGGGTGTCTGGTTTACCGTAAATTGTGTTTAAGGTTGAAAAATTCTAAACTATTAAAATTCTCTTCATAGAGCTCTATTTGAATATATATATATATACTGGCCCATGCTTGATCACACCATATTTACTCTGAACACATTTGTTTTTATTATCAATGCAAAATATTTACCAGTTGATTTTGTTTCATAGTCGTTCCAGGTCTCATGATAGGAAATGAAGATCCTGGATTGCTCTGCAAGGTCATATCAAGATTTTGAAGAGGAACGTTTTTACAGTGCCACTTTTCGTTCTTAAATTTTGTTTAAAACTTTAAAAGCGCCCCATGTGGGTTGCTATGTCATGCTTTGTGATTTCCGTTAAAAGAACAACAAAGGCCGGGATGGTTCTACTTTTATCTGATTTGTCTGTTGTGGCAGAAGTAGTTTTTTTTTTTTTTTTTTTTTTTTTTTTTTTTTTTCCATTTTGTATAATTGTTCTCATGGATGAATTTGTCCTGCAAAAATGAACTTGTCCTGCATGTTTTGAAACTGAATACTGTCTTTGGTTTAGTAGAAAACATTTTTTAACTGTTTAAATAAATTGTGATTTATAAATTTTTTTCTGCTTGCTTTATTCTATTCATTATTTCCATTTTCTTTGCATCACTGTGAAACAGGGACTTAACAGATGTTGGTGCTGTTATTTGAAGGATGTCCCTTAAACACCATCTGCATTTCTGTATTTTACCTACTGTATATCTGTTACTAAAGATGGTGTTTTTTTCCAATCAGCTTTACACTACCAACTCAAACAATTTGACAATGCAGATAAATATCATCAATAAATGTTTTTCAAAGCTTGCGTGTCTGTTTTTTTATTTTATTTTTTTTTTCCATTTAACATTTTGGAAGTTGTGGTAGAATCTAGATGTTATTTAATGCAGGAAGTGACTGTATGGTGCTGATTAAGATTGCAAGTATAGCCCACACAGGAAGCTGTCAAACAGCGCTAGTTAAACACTCCCTCGTCGTGTGAAATGCAACTCCTGTCGAGCGGAGTAGATGAGTTGATGTTGGGGTTTAGCTTCTGTGATGAGTCAACAGATGTTCCAGATTTTGGAGGTAAGTACAATAAAATAACTTTTTTTTTTTTAAGAAAGCAAACTAAATGTCTTAAACACTTTTAAACTAGTTATTTGCCAGTCTATATGCTGCAGTTTGTTTGCTACCATTGCCTGTATAGGGTTTTTGGTTTGTACCTACACTCTGTTAGTTGTTTTTTTTATCCTTTATATTGTATATTCTGGAGAAAATGGGCTATCCATTACTTTTTCTTTATTTTGCTCTTGTATAATTGTAGGGCGTGATTTCCCCAGTGCATTACACAACGTTTTCTGCCCAAGGCACTTTTTTTAAGGGTTGGGTTAGCTCACATTAATGGGGGGTTGTCATAAAAAAAAATGTCTGGTTTAGTATAAGGTATCAGAAAGTTGTCAAAAACCATTAACTATTTTCTCTAATGCTGACAGTTTAAAAGTTGAAAGAGAAGCCACCTAAACATGATATCACAATGAACAGAAGAAAGCTTGGGACAAGTCGAAGAAACAAAGGAAGGCAGCGTGTGAAGGAGCCAGAAACGGGGCTAGGTGTTGAATCTAGAGAGGATGTTCAGGATGAGGCAAGGGGAAGTGAATGTCCAGATGCACAAATGTCTGCTGCGAAGCAACCTAAAGAGCTGGAAGAAGTAGGTCAAGAGTGTGATCATAGCATGGCTGCACAACAGGAGGCTTTCTTGGTCGGTACAGATGGTAAAACTGATGGGGATAAAATTGCCCTCTGTTCAGAAGACACTCGGCACATTCTGATTTCCAGAGATGTCAATACACCTTTTACAGAGGAGACTAAGCTGGAAGATTACCGTACTAACACTCATCAGAATGAAAAATTCAGCCAAAATCTGTACGACCATCTCCCTGAGGTAACCAGTTATACGACATCGAATCAACAAATGATTGAACAGGGACAAGATATCAATCTTTGTTCTGTGGCAGAGTCATACAGCATCAAGCTTGTATACCAAGACTTGTTCAGGCCAGATGGGTTTCTACAGGATAACTTCTCAGTAAGCGAATTAAATGTTAATACACCTATTACGCCACAGATAACTGCAGATAATGCTCAAAGAGAAAACATCCCAATTATTGATGGCATTAACCAAGATGCTTTTTTATTGCAAAAAGAGACGTTGCTTACAAGTAAAGATGGCAACACCCAGTGTTCAGATGAGGTTGAATATCATGTTTACCGTAAAAATAACCTGACACAAGTGCAAAGTGAGCATCAAAATGAAAACTCTGCTGAAGATCCCTTAAAAGACGAAGAATGTAATTCTTACTCTGAAAAACAGATACTTGAATCTGATACTTGCCAAAGTATGCTTCCAGTTAGCACTACAGTCAAAACGGATATTTCGAACACAGCAGAAGAAATTTTTCTAGGTCAGATGGACCGAACTGGAAGTTTTTTGGAAGATAACAGACAAATTGTAGAAAAGGTTCACACTGAGAAAGCCCTTTCGGAGAATAAAAGGAACAAATCATTTGTTCCAAATCTTGAGTCAGACTTAAAGGCTTCTACCGAGCCCCAACTACAGGATAGTTCTCAGACCACAGATGAGCATGCCGAGTCAGACTTCAGCTTTAATGCAACAAAAAGAAAAATGGGATCTAGCTTTAGAAATGAAGGAAAATGGCATGCAAAAGAACCTGAAGAGGAAACTTATGAAAACACTTGGACCAATGCACCTCAAGTATTTTCAAAAGTAAAGGAAACAGAGCAGGAAGAACTCAGTGTTGACACTGCTGACATGAACATGTCTCTTTCACAAAAAAGCCTGGTGTCTTTTTCTTTAGTGCCCTCAGGTATTTCTTCTGAAGATCTTGATAAAAACTCGCAGATAATGAAAAGTGAAAATCCTCAAAAAGGTCAAGACGAAACTAGTCCACTGGCATTGTTTGAAGTGACTGAGAACTCAGATGTCTCACAGCATGAGGTGGATCAATCTTATACTCTACACAGTCAGGATATGATAAATTGCCAATCAGAAAATGTTCTGAGGAACCTGTTTCAGGAGATCAAAAATGAAACAGAGGATGATATGAAACGTAGCACAGACCAAATATTTCACCAGGAGAAACACCCTGTTTTGTTAGAATTCCAGCCTCTAGAAGCTTTTAGAAGTGTAAATGAACAATCCAATGAAGGCTCCAACCAAGCCTTTTACAGCAGTGGCAACAGAAGGAAACTGGGGTCTAGCCGTAAAATTAAAGAAAAGCAACAAGAAAAAGACTCCAAAGAAAAATCCAGATATGAAATAAACACACACATGTTAGATAAAGAGAAAATGAGCTCTGAGGCAAATATTTATACAGAAAATGAAGAGGTTTTGATTCCAGAGGGTGTTAAAATCCCAGAACATCAGTATAAATCTGAAACTGAAATGAATATGGAGTTTCCTGACAAAAAATGGGAGGATACCTCAGAATGTCAGTCTGGCACCTTTAAGAGCAAATCTGGGATTCACCAAACCAAGGAAGGTGAAGTTCCTTATTCAGAAGATAATGAGAGACAAGGTCAAGTGCACAAGGCCCTGCAAACGCAGGGACAAGAACCTCAACAAATGAATTACATTGTTTATGGTCAGATGGGAGAAGGCAGAGTCTGTTTGGAAGATCCCAAAAACTATTCTGCTCACCCGCAACTTCAGGACAATTCTCTGAGCACAGATAAGCAAACTGATGTGAGCAGAAGAAAACTGGGCTCGAGCCGGAGAAAAAAAGCAAGGCAACAAGTTAAAGAGCCTGCTACTGAAGTGTTTGATAGTACAGGAGGTGATCAAATACAGGAAACAGCTTCAATGTTAAAGGAAGAACTAAGCCAAAATAATGAACCAAGGATTCCCGAAACTGATTTACAGGGTTTGATAGTGAAATGTGAAAATCTTCAGGAACATCATTATGAAAACAGGTTAGACAGCAAAAATACAGTGAAAGTCTCACAGCGAGGAGTGGAGGAAATTGACACTCTTTGCAACAAGAACACAACAGATGCTGTTGCAGTGGATGCTCCTAGGGAGGTGGTGGGAGTGGAGATGGGAAATTACTCGGATGCAAAAGATGAGACAAATCAAGATTCTGTTTATTGTTGTACCAATAAACCCCAAATCAAGGATGTAAACACAAAAGGAGTTGCCTCAAATGATTTTGAAGAGTTCAAAGGTGGAGAAGAGTACGGATTACAACACATTAAATCACTCACCTCTTATCAAGTTATTCATAAGGACAAAAAGGGATTTTCCAGTGAGCTGGAGGAAATCAAAGTTGTTCCATCAAACATCCTGTCAGAAATAGATTATTTTGACTCCAGGCCTCAGGAGATGCCTGATACTGTAGATGAACAGACCAAGACAAGCTTTGAAAGCAGTGACCACAATATAAAAAAAGATTACAGCCAAAGTAGTGAAGGAAGACAGCATGATGAAAAATCTGAAGATGTAAAGGAAAAGTCCAAGGAAGTCCAAAATTTCGTTTCAACACAAATATTATCAGAATCAAAGACTGTAAACCAGGAAGAACTCGGACATGACGTAGAGCGTGATGTCTCACCGGTGTTAAACGACAGCTCAGTGTTCACCCCTGGTGATTTATCTGAAATTCAAAGCTTTCCTGAGAACGACCTGGTAAATTCTACTTCTGAAAATGTATATTTCACAAAATATCAAGAAAGATCAGAAACAGAGGGAAATGCTTTGGTGGATGCATCTGAGATGCTACAGAGTCAAAAATGCAACAGTCCTGAAGATTCATATGATACTATAAAACAAGCCCAAAACTATACAGATCCACCAACAGACATACAACAAAGTCAGCAAATGGACAACTGGTCTGAAATCGTGGCACACAATGTTTCTAGATATCAAGTAACTGTTTTGGAAGACATGATTGATCAAGCTGAAATCACCAGCAGTATCCAATCAGAGCTCACAGTGAAAAGTGATGATTCTGATACAAAACTTGACCTTCTACCTGAAAACCAGCAATATCTGTGTTTCACAACAGAGGGAAATGAAGAGGCTGTAGTACCGACGACTGATGACCATCTGTGTGATTCAAAGGAAACGTTGGCCAGCAGTGTAGTTAGAGTAAACAATGCCCTTGGTCATATGGACAAAGGTGGGAGCCAGGTACAGAATATTGAACACAATCATGCTGATGCCACAGTCGCGGACAGTTCGCTCAGTACAGATAAGCAAACTGAGGTGGGCTTCAACTACAGTGGAAGCAGAAAAAAACTGGGGTCTAGTCGGAGAAATAAACAGAGAAAAGAATATACACAGGAAACTTTAGAAACTACTGGAACAGAAGAAACCATTGATACAGCAACACTGTTGTTTGACACAAAGGCAACCAGGCAAGAAGAATTAAGTAAAGATAATGAGGATGAAGTTACCTTGTCTGCTTCACGTGACTTATCCATAATTCCTGTTCTGTCTTCTGAGGATCAAAGCTCTGTGGAAACTAAAGGGCCTGACAAGCACCTGAAGACTTTGATTGTAGTATGTGAAAATCTTCAAGAAGATACAAATGAAAGAAACTCAAATGTTTTGTCTCCAGATCAAGAAAAATCTGTGGATTTATCACTGAGTAAATATAAAGCTATCCACTGTGAAGATACAAGAGATGTTGTTTTACAGGAAACTGTGATGAAAGACCAAGAAGAAAAAGATTGTTTAATAACAGAAAAAGACCTACAAATCTGTCTACGAATCCCACATTCTTCTGAAACGGCTTCAGACGATACCACTAAAAATGCTGACATGTATGGAAGTCTGACTGATCAAGGTGAAATGTCTCCACTCACAGAGAAAAGCACTGATAGTTTTACAGCAAAAGAGGAAGAACATCCTGAAAAAGAGATAATCTCAGAGATATTAGATCTAAAAAATGAAGAAATGGTTCAGAATAATAACAAAAACAAAGATGATGATATATTCCTTCACGACAAAGAAGAACCCCTCTTTGAAAAGGAGGAAAGCAAACCTATTTTTTCAAACATTGAACCAGAAATATTTTCTTTGTATCCCCACACAGAAGAAACCTCTAAGAGTGTTGATGAGCATTTTAACACAGACTTTTCCAATTGTACAAGTGGACAGAAAGTGTCAGCAACACTGTTATTATCAGATGTAAAAACGGACACAGTTGAGGAACAAAGACAAGATGTGGAGCAGAATATGACATTATTGGTTTCTAATGAAAACTCCACTCTGTCTCCTCCTAGTGATTCATCTAAGGTTCAAAGTGCTGTGCAAAACATCTATCCTGAGACTGACCTGACAAGTTTAATTAAAGAAGATAGTTTAGAGAAAGTTGATAAATCAGAAAAATATAACGTTGACTTATCTCATAAATCAGAGGAAGACTCTTTCGTGGATAAAACCGACTTTGTTAAAATTAAAGGTGAGACTCTCCAGACAAATCAAATCACAGGTCCCAATGACTTAGAAACTGCTAGAAAACAATCTCATGACAATGAGGACCAACCAACAGACATAGCAAGAAGTGAGCAAAAAGAAGTGGCCCATGAACTTCCTAAATATACGGAAAATAACTTAAAAGAAATAATTGAACAGGTTGAAATAATCAGCAGTATCCAGTCAGACTTTGAAGTGAAAAGTAATGATGGTTCTGATACAAAACAGGAACTTCCACATGAAGTCCAACAAAATCTGTGTTTCAAAACAGAAGCAAATGTGGAAACTTTAGCTCAGACAAATAAGGATGATCATCTGTATGATTCAAAGGAAGGATCAATCAGCAGCCTGGCTGAAGAGAACAATACCTTAAGTCAGACGAATAAAGATGTGAGTCTGGTACAGGCAACTGAACACAGTCTTACAGACCCAAAACTCCAGGATAGTTCTTTCAGCACAGATGAGCAAACTGATCTGGGCTTCAGTGGGATCAGAAGAAAACTGGGGTCTAGTCGGAGAAATAAAGGAAGACATGATGTTAAAGAACCTACACAGGTGACTTCAGAAAATACCTTAAGAGACAACCCTCTCCAAACCTCAATGCCATTGGAAAAGAGTGGAGCCGAGCAGGAAGACCTGACTGAGGACATTGAACACAAAATTATCCTGTCTCTTTCACAGGACTTATGCTTAATGCCATTGCACGTTATGTCTTCAGAGGATTCGAACTGTGTGTTAAAAAAAGATCCCACTTGTAGAGATGGCAGTGAGAGCAGGTTAGAGGTTGAAATGATTGGCAAACCAATAAATGTTGTAGAACTAGAGGAGGGTCAATTTGACACTATTCATTGCAAAGTCACCAAAGATGCTGGATCAGACGATGCTTTTAGGGAAGTAGAGGATGTCAGGGTTCACCAAACAGAAATGCAAGATACCCTGCAATCCAAATGTTATTCTGATATTACTGCAGAAAATAAGGGCATTATTCCTGAAAACCTGGCAGATCCAGCTGAAATGTCTGAGCTCACTGTGAAAATAACTGATGGTTCTGCAACCAAAGAGGAAGTATATCATAGAAAAGAAAACTACCCAGAGGCCATAGATGTAAAAGATAAAGAATCTGACCTCTATGATCTCAATATACAACAAATCACCAACTTGGGAAAAGGTGACTCTGCTCCAGATGAGATGGTTAAGTTAAATGGCAAGATGGAAGGAGAAAGCTCCATGCAACCTGACGTTGACCCAAAATGTTTAAATATAGAAATTAATTCAGAGAGTCAAAATAAATTAGATATAGATGTTATTTTATCTCTTCAATCAGGGGATGATTCTTTATTGGATATATCTGACTCTCTGGAAAGTGAAGATCACACTTTTTGTAATAAAGTAGTCATAGGTACTGAACATGAGAGCTCAATGCATTTCGACCCCTCTCTGGTTCAATCGTTAGAGGTTCAGAGTTCTATGCCAGATATCTATCCTGAGAATGGTCGAGAGAATTTAATTCAAGAAGTAGAAGTAGAGGAGTATCCTGGTCAATCATGGGAGAATTCAGAACATCAGTCTGACACGCTTCACAGTGAATCTGGGATTCTTCAAGCCAAGAATCGAGATAATGATGAGGGACAAGGTCAACAACACGAGGCAAGAACACAAGTACAACAACCTCATCAAATGGATCACATTGTTTATGGTCAGGTGGAAGAAGGCAGACTCTTTTTGGAGGATTCCGAAAACCATTCGGCTAACCCCCAACCTCAAGACAATTCTCTGAGCACAGATAAGCAAACTGATGTTGGTTTTGGTTTCACTGGGAGCAGAAGAAAACTGGGCTCTAGCCGGAGAAACAAAGGAAGGCAACAAGGTAAAGAACCTCCAGAAGAAGTGTTGGAAAGTAAAAGAGGTACAGTAACACTTGAAAGACCAACAGTCCCATCACAAATAGGGAGAGCAGAGCAGGAAGAAATGAAGGAAGACACCAAGCATGTAAACATATCTGTTTCACACGATAATATCTCGATTTGTTCAATTCCTCCAGTTATGTCCTTTGAAAATCAGAGCTCTGTGTTATCAAATTATCCTGAAAAAGATTTGCAGAGTTTAATTCTGAAAAGTGAAAATCTTGAAGAGGATCTAAATGAAAGAAAGTCACCTGCTTTTGCCCAAGATGAGGCAAAATCAGCGGATGTGTCAATAGATGAATCAGATAGTTTTAACAGAGGAGATCACAGTAATACTGTGTCAGACAATGGGAAGGAAATGCTTGAAGCAGTGAAATCAACACAAATTCAAGAAAGCATACAAACATGTTCATATAATGATTTTAAAGGTGATGCAACTGAACATCTTGACATTACTTCAGAAAATCCAACTGACCAGGCTGAATTATCTGAGCACAAAACTAACATTGTTGATGAAATTGAAATAAAAGAAGAATCATACTCTTCAGAAGAAATCAACTCAGATGTTCATGAACTTAAAAATGAAGAAACAGCCCAGCATGATGTAAGAACGAACACTGATGAAATATTTCATCAGGACCAGGAACATCTCTTATGTGAAACAGGGTACAAAACACTTGGTTTGTCAAACTTTCCATCAGAAAACATTTTCTTAAACCTCCAGCCTCAGGAATTGTCTGAGAGTGTAGACAATCAAACCAAATCAGACCTCCATAGCAGTGGCAGCAGGAGAAAACTGGGGTCCAGTCGTAGAAATAAAGGCAGGGTTAAGGCAATAGATTCAGCTGCTTTATCACACGATCAAACTATGAAGGGCGTTGACATTAATGCAAGTATAAATGAAAAAACAAAAGGTAGAGAAGCACCTGACCAGGAAAAATCAATTGAAACAGTGCTGGATGAATTGGAGGAAAAGTATTCTTCTATTTGCATAACAGGCATTCAGCCATCCCCCACTGTTGACCACAAGGTTATTGACACATCATGTTGCACACAGAGTACAGATAGGGAACCACCCAAACCTCTCAGCATAGATCATTATGAATGCAGAGAGCTATGCATGCAAGATGATAGTCTAAAGGAAAGCATTTTGTCATCTGAACCACATGCATGTCCCCCCACAACAGAAAGGTATGCCGAGAAAAGCAGGAGCACAGAACCTGAAAGCAGGGATGTGGGTACGTTTGAGAAAGTTCTTAAACAGCATACCAAGCCTGCACAGAACCAAGGCATGTTTCGAACAATTGAAAATGAGCGAGATGGAACAGATGGAAATCATGATGATTATTCCAGAAATATGTTTGAACATGCAGAAACAAAGGTAACGGATGATGACGCTGAAATATTGAAGCCTAATGCCCCACCAGAAAAAGCCATAGAAAAACCGAGAAGCATGTACCTTGCTTCAGTTGATTACAGCATTGGGCATGGTGCAGTGTCATCACCACAAGAGATGTGTTCTACTGATGGGGGGAAAGATAGGCTTATAGCTGCAGAAACTCATAATTTTATAGATGTGGAAAGCAAAGAACAGAAAGAGCAGGCTAAAAATGAACAAATGCAGGAAACACATCAAGTCTCACTTCAAATAGATGAATGTCATGTACAAACACGGCCATCAGATAAAGAAGTTGAGTCTCTCAAACAAACACAGCAGTCAGATAAAGATGCTACTTTGGACTCTCAACCAAAGGACGCTTATCAAAGCCTCAAAGATGATGCTCACTCAGGGCCCACAGCATCAGCGTACAAGAGGAAACTGGGGTCAAGTAGGAGGCATAAAGGCCGAAAAAATAACCAGGTTACTGAAAAAAATGAAGAAACTGAAAATGAAGCTCAAGAAAATACAACATACGAGGAAACTGCACAAATGTTAGCAGCACAAGAAGAGGAAATAGAAAAGGAAATTCTGTCTGAAAACCTGGCGCCATTTAGACTAACTGAAATACTGCTGAAAGACAACATAGTTTCTTCACATGATGTTCTGGAGGACAGCACAAGTGTAACGTCAGGTTATAATCCAAACTCAATCCAAGTGAACCTTAGTAAATCCAATGCAGAAGAAAAAGACAAAGATGTAAAACTTACTGATGGGAATAATGACTCAATTCAGCTTACAGGACATGACACAAACAAAAAGAGTTTGATGCAATCAACTCAGGGTTCTGTTTGGATAGTTGGCTCAGATATGCAGAATACCTTATTTCATAATGATATTATCAGCCCAGAACCAGAAAATGTGCATGTCATTGTTCATGAAGAAGCCTTACAGAGACAAAACAGAGACACTTCTTCTGAAAAAGCTCCACCAGGAAGAGGGTTCCATTTGCAAAATACAAACAAAGAGATAGAAACAGTTGGATTTGTAACAACAGAAGACTGCATTTCAGAGGTGGAAAGCTTAATGGATGTACACGATCTTAAGCAGGATGAAGAGGGAAAGAAGTGTATGCATGAAGCCCAAGAGAAAAATACTTCAAATGAGTGCATTTCTGCTTCGCAGGAGCCAGCTGTGGATGAATCTAACAAAGAGGGGATTTCTGCAACGGTAAAGGCACCAAACAGCCAAGGAGAAAACCCTCAGTTAACATTGAAACAGAAGAAGAGAAAGCTTGGATCTTCTCGTAGGACTCCATTGAACAGAAAACGAGAGGATGAGACACAAACAACTGATGAGACAGAAGAAAGGGACTTTAGCACAAAAACAGAGATGGGGAATCGTGGCGAGTTGGAAGGTGAGGGGGAAGTACCTTTAAAACTAGAGGTATTACAAGGTGACGATATGCAGCCACAACAAGAAACTTTAATGCAACAAGAAATCAGTGATAGTCTCCAGACCAATAACAATGACATTTCTTTCTCTTCTGAAAAATCTGCCATCATAGATCCTATTATAGAAACACCAAACCCAGATGGCTTTAAAAGTACTGAGATTCAAATGACCCCTGAGCTGGTGGAAAGAAACAGTTGTTTTTTTAATCAGCCAATGACTTCAAACAATGACACCCAAGGGGGGAGTCCAGAGGTATTATGTGAACTGCCACAGAATAAACAAGGGGATGAGCAGAGTCCGCAGAACGTGGAGGTAAAACAAGTCCAAGATATTCAAAAACAATCTCCAAGTAGAAAGACTGAAGGCATTCACACTCAAAATCCTGGGATAGAAAACACAAGTCAGGATTTAATTCCAACGAACAGGAGAAGAAAAATGGGCTCTACTCGTAAAAATCTGGGAATACAAACTAAACAGGAAATCTTTGAACCGGAAAATGGGTCAGCAGAGATTGTAACATCTTCCAGAGATGTAACAGTGTCTAGTGACTCGGGAAAGAAAGAAACAGAACCACAGCTACACACTGAACACATAGATGCCAACTCTCAGCAAGGAAAAGAGAAAGAAACTCTGGAAATCAGCCAGTTTGGTGAGTCTTTATTAAGAGCTCTAGCTGAAGATAAGGCTGAAGAAAATTCTATCTCAGAAGAGCAAACAGCAGAGGCAGAACAACAGGAAAATCCAAGCGGACTGCCACCCAGCCCTCCCACGTCAGAAACTGCCTCTGGAGGGAGGAGGAAAAAATTTGGATCAAATCGAAAGTCAGGGTTACAACAAAGAAAACCAGAGAAAACAGCAGAAAATGAAGATGAAGCCAGGGGGATCACAGAAGGAGGTGCACACAAGGCAACTGAAAGAGATGAATCATCAGGCCTGAGCAAGATATCAGAGGTAAGCTCCAAATGATTTACTTTGAACTTTTTTGATAAGTATTTATGTTATTTTTTATGTCATCATATTTTTAAAGCATGCATTGCAAAGTAATTGAATATGATACATATTAGTAATTTACTTGCTGGACATTAATATACTTTATTCTTTTTTTTTGTATTGGTAAAGACGTCGAGTTACACTTGTTTCAACAATATGATGAAACAATAATTTATGGTCTTCAGACAGACAGGTAGTTTGTAAAAAAAAATGTCAATGTCGAGAAAAGATGGGGTGCTACTTCCCATTTGCATGAAACATCTTGTTCTTGTTGAAGAAAACATTGATGCAACTAACTAAAATGAGGAACATGTGGTCATCACCATGGGTTTTACGTTGTTGAAATGAGAACATGTATATCTGGCTTCCTCCGAAACCTAACACAAGCAGGCTTTAAATAAGATCAGGTAGTTTTAGCTGGGTCTAATAAACTGAGAAGGGTTTTCATGAAAAGAAAATGCATAAAAAAGAGAAGATCACTTATGTTTATTTCACATTTTGATCTCTACAGGTTGATGAAAATGAGGGGAAAGTATCTCCTTGCACTAATCTCTCAGAGACTACAGAGTTTCCCAAGCCTGTAAGGTAAGGCTGTTACAGATAAACCTATCTGAGACATGCATGTTGAGTTAAGCCATCTGCTTTGTAACACAAACCATAAATCATTAAGAATCATCACTGAATTGCAAACTCACCAGTTTCCCAGATGCTACTTAATGTCTGGTGTTAATATTTTCAACAGTGAATGCATTAACTTATTACCTTTGCATCTATTTCAGAAGTTTGGTCACTTGTGTGATATCATAAAACCAATCAGAAAATAGAACTGTGAACATCATTTAGTCTGAGCAGAAACTCCATTGCCCACATTCTTTCTTATTTGCTTGTAAAATGTAATTGTACATCAACTCTCAGACTGCTCGGGAAACAAGGTCAAATTTCGAACCATAACAACTTTAGTGTCCAACAATATGAAACTAAAACTACACAAAGGAAATATAACTTTCAAACAGCAGAAGAAATGGTGGTTTATGAAGCAGGTTTTTACAAGAGAAGGCTAAAAGCATACTCAAATCCTCTGTTAATCAAAAATGTTTACACACTCCACATGCTTTGTTTAACCCTAGTAAAGATGTGTAAAGCGGATGAAGTAAAAAAAAAAAAAGAAAAGAAAAGAAAAAACAATAAATAAGAAACAGAAAAAAACGTTAAGTTTATACATAGTATTGTGCTTTCTAAACAGATATAGGATAGTCTCATTCTGGAACATTTAAAAGATTCAACCTTTTTCTTATTGTATAACTCTAAATTGAACTAAAAAAAAACTTTACTATTTAGGATCAGAATCCAGAATATGTTTGAATATCTCTCCATCCTCTGTCATTGTCCCAAGGCCTCTTTTGTGGCAGTAATTAGTCTAGATATGTATGCATGTCAGTTTGCAGATCCCTCTCAGAAGTATTAAAAAAGATGCAAAAACTGAAGCAGCAGTAAACTTTGAGATTTTGAAAATGTCTTTGCACATGGTAAATGTTTACATTTGATTATCCTCTACCCACTGATTTGTGCAGTTTGGTCATTAGAATATGATCTGTATATTGATAAAGACACACACACACACACACACACAAATACAGGTTTGGACACAGTGTCTGGTGAATTGCAAATGCAAATAATTTTGCACCCTGAAGATTTGCTATGCTCAAGTAAACATGTTTAGGTCATGCAAACCATCTAAATATCAGGCTCTAAGAGTGCTGGACAGAACCATCAAAGGCCCTTAACAAATCAGCCGAATTGCTATCTGGTCTTTGTTCGAGGAGGAAAACCATTGGTTCTGCCAGAGGCGTACAAAGTGATCTGCAGCTAACTACTGGCATGAATGTTTAAGAAAACCATTAGATACAGACTTTTTCAGGCTGGCCTGAAGTCCCATCATCCTCTAGTAGGCCATGAGCTCTATGCCAGGTACCACTGAGCTCAACTGGAATTTGTCAGAGAACACCTTAATTGACAGGTACAGGTGCCAATTTCTCCTTACAGATGAGACAGACATGAAAGGGTTTGGTAAAGCTATCTACATGAGTTCCTGCCTGCAACATAATTCAGAATGAATGGTTTGGTGGTTGCCCTGCGATGGACTGGCAGTCTTTCTAAGGTGTACCCCGCCTCTCACCCATAGACAGCTGTAGATAGACACCAGCACCCCTTGCAACCCCACTAGGGATAAGCGTTACAGAAAATGGATGGTTGGATGGCTTGGTGGCTGAGTGCTACTTTGGAGAGGCATGTCCATGGATGGATACACAGATCTGTAAAGGATAAACAGTGGGATCCTGACTGCTCAGAGGAAATGGGATAAAAGCTTTAGACACTTTATCAGACCATCACAAGTGCAGTGGGTCCTGTTTTCCTAACCTAAATCCAGAAAAATGTTCTGGAACATAATGTTTGGCTCCTTCTGATGCCACCAGGTTGAACCACAGAATATTCCTTGAAACTAACATATCTAGGACGGTTTACACCAAACCAGGATTTTAAATTGTTTGTTTCATAGGGACAAGACACCAGGGACTCTTGTTCATGGTAGTATCCAATTGAATGAAGAGGCTGGGACTTCGCTTTCATTTGGTAAACATACCAACACCTCTTACATGTAATGAAGGGTTCTAGAGAGGTTAAAGACATCAAAGGAAATAAAAATGTATATGTCAAGACTAAAAGATGCTCTCCTTTTCATTTTTAGGTACTACTAGTGGCACAAATAAATCAGACTGTTACAATGTGGTCATGGTTGGAGAAAGCTGCGTTGGGAAAACTTCCTTCATGAAAAGAGCTCAAAGTGGAAAATTTTCTTTAGATTTGCCTGCCTCCGTTGGTAAGATCCTGATATTTCATGTTATTTTCATAAATGTGTGTCAATATATGAAACTATGTTACCTGAAATGTTTTGCAGGCCTTGATTCCTGCAAGTGGACTGTGGTAGTAGATGGAAAACCTGTGGTTCTACAGTTATGGGATACAGCAGGTCAAGAAAGGTATCTCTCACATTGATTATTGTTTTAAGTGAAAACATTACAGATGAGGTTTTAATGAAAAGGTTATATGATAGCACACAATTTCGACAAAATGTTTCCTCTACATGATATTAATGAAAAAAATACTTCAGTTTATTTTTCTTTAGAGTATTATTCTATTGCAAAAAAAAATTTTTTATTTGATTAGCTTTTCTTTGTAGATATTGTAATAGTTCAGTTAACTTGTGGTTTTTCTTAGGGCTGAAACAATAAATTCAATTAATCGAGATTAATCGATAATTGAAATAGTCATCAACAAGTTTAGTAATCGATGAATCGTTAACTGGAGTACAGAAACTGTAAAAAGTGCCTTTAGCTGATAGAACATTTTGCATTTAAGATTTTAAAAAATATTTTCTTCTGTCAATATGCTCTATCCAGAACTCCTCAAATGGAAAAGTTTGAGTTTCACCCGGTTTAATTTAGTAAAAAAATCTTTTTTAAGGGACCTTTGGCTATCTGATTATTAATTGATCAATAGTTATTTGCAGCCCTAGTTTTCATATCTATAGAAGTGGGATTATTGGCTCCCAAGGATGTTATTAAAGATTGTCCAGTTCCTGATAAATCAATGAAAGAGCTGTTTTCACATTCATTCTTTCCTCCACATCTCTCCATCATCACATCTTTATAACGTGTTTATGTATAGGATCTCAAGGCATAGTCAAGGACATTGTAAGGACTCCTTTAGTTTGCTACTGATGTTTGTGTCTTCAACATAAGACTTTCAATGTTTGTAGCCAGCTGGGAAGTGTATAGTATAATAGGCAATTCCTCTAAATATGGAGCCAGTGGTCTCAATAAGAAAAACATTAGGAATTTATAGATAACTGTCTTGTTTGCTGTAATCTAGTTTCTTATTGGTAGTTGAGATAAATGTGAGCTGAAAGAGGGTTTTGATAGTTCACCATTCTGTCTGTAAATGAACGGGAAGTGTGGTGAATGACCAAAACAATACAAAAGAATAAGATCCTGCTTAGAGGGAAAATATTTAAACTTTCTCCATTGTTGTGAGAGTTTACCGGAAGATTATGAATATAATAAATAACTAGAGCTGGAAGTTATATTAATTAATAGGTCATTCAAATCAAGGGTAAAACTAATTAATTATTATCAGTTGAATGATTATAACTGGAATTTGCTTACTCACCAGGGTTTTTAGTCTCTTAAGTAAAAGGTTGGACTGTCTTTCACCAATTGAGTAATTTAGAATATCAAAGTTGTTAATCACCAAACAAATCAACTGTGTCTCTGTTCATTCGGATACTAATGACAGAAGAGGGATTCCAACCTAGGTGATAAATCGTTCACTGCGTAAAATAAACACAAGAGACCACGGCTTAAAAATATAATGGTACATTCATTAACTAATAATCACACAGTATTATTTCTAATAAGCTACTAAACACTACTGGCAATACTCAGTCACTAAACACAACTGAAAATAAGTCCAAATAACCAAATAAAAAGGGGAGGAGGGGTTGGTATAAACGTCTGTTTAAATTCAAGTTTTAAAGCTTCTTACATTGAAAGTGAATAAACCTTGATATGTTGAATGCTGTCAAAACATTGCAGTTTCATTCAGTTTTATGAGGAAAATGAATAATGACTCAGGAATGCATTAAACTGTGATGAGGCTCAAAGAGAATGGGTTTAAGGTATTGTGGAGGGTTTTCTCAAATTTTTCAAAAGACCCATCCTCTCCCCTTTAAAAAGAAATGTGTGTGCAAGAGCGTGCACAAGCCCATTTCTCCTTGTGCTCACTCCGTTTAAAGTTCCTATTCTCGTAGCTCATACAAGCTTACTGTGTCTGAATGTCCGTCTTAATTCCTAAATCTGACTGTCTGAAACCGTAGCTCACCACGGATATATGCCTGAAAGTGCTCATGTGCAGAAAAAGATAGCTAATGGGAAAAGCACGTATGATGGCCTAACGTAAACATCGTTACGCCATCATATTGACAATTAGGAAGACCACCTATTTAGATGATCCTCCCAAAAATAAAAGATTGTCCTCTATACCTTTAACTTAGCTGGTCCCAGGGGTTCTAGTCCAGCCAGTCGAGCTGAAACAAAGAAAATATTAGCTGGTCGCCTATTCACGGTTTGCCACAGCGGCTTGAATGCCTTTTTCATGTAGTTAATCCAAACTGCAGGCACCAGGATAATAAAAAGGAACATTTCGGCATTTTAAGTTAATTTAGACATTAATGAACTTTTTCAGAGGAGTGATCATAGTGATCTGTATCATCAACAATGTGTCTGTCTCCCTGCCAGCTCCCAGACCAGCTTCTTTGATTGGTTGATGCGGCGCATCGAGCAGAAAAAGTTGAATTTTTCCAACTCCAGCAGCTCCTGCTTCTGCAGCGCATCCTGCATGTCAGATGCTCAGAAGCTCACAACGCGCAGCTTCAGCTTCTGAGATGCGCTGTTCCTGCTGCTCAAAATGCACTGCAGGACCTTTTGCTGCGCCTTGATGCACGTCAACCATTGACTTTGCATGTAAACTAGCTGCTCCTGCTGCCTCTGCTGCTTTAGGTGTGAACGTAGCATAAAGGGCAGACTTCTGCATCTGCACACATCCAATTTCGCCTGGGTCTGGTCGCAAACCAGTTTTACTGGTATGCTTCTGCACCGTCGGTCTCCAATTTCTGGGGATGCACAGTAGTTTCCTTCCAAAGCGCAAGGGTGAGCCTATTCGAGAACTTTGGCGGCGCCGGCGGGAGTGTTTATCTTCCAAAACAACAATGGTGCATCTGCAAGATATCAAGGTCACGGAGATGGATCTAGAGTTGCTAGACATCGAAGAATAACAGGTTCTGTTAATGGAGTTGGCAAAAAGACCAATTAACCTTTTTATCGTAGTTTTCCACTGTAGTTGTTCCTTGATTTTTAAAAATGGCGCGCCCCGTCACTGAATTGAGAAGGACGACCACACAGACAGCCGAAAATGCATACCAAGGACCAATCACAGCTGCTTTTTGTCTGTGCACTTCTGCTTGAGTTCTGCATAGGTTTGAAACCATCCAACATGTAGTCAGGACGACAGACGACAGTTGCAGAATCTCTGCACGGGGGGCGTGGTCAAGCACAGAGACAAATTTGACAGTTGCAGATGCTATGCATCAGAAGTATAAACTAGCCTTAAGAGGCAACTATGCAGGAGGGAGGAGGTCATTTTATAACTCATGGTAGCCTCCAGCTTATAGCAGCTTCTAACGGCTATTTTGGAGAACAGCAACTGGGGCCCTCTGTTCGACGGTTAGATTTAGGTAAACAGAGCTAAATAAGCTCTCCTCTGTCTCTGCTGTAGCATGTGGGTTCAGGAAACACTGCGTTCAACTCGGTTTGAATCGGACAAAGCAGGAAAACACTGCGCTCATCTCCTTCTGAACCGCACGAAAAGGCAGTCTGACTCATCCAGCAAGCCCAGACCTCTCTAGTGGCATTTGGTTGCTACTTAGCCTACCCTTCAGCTGGGTAGCACTGTAGGGTCTAGCCTTTAACCGCTGCACGCTGCTGCCAACAAGAAGCTGAATAGGAAGTTGCCCCTTTAAAAGCTCCGTCAGAGGGGTGTGCCTTCAGAGAGCTGTAGTTCCAGTTACATCCATGACATGTGTTTACAACTCTATATATAAAGCATTAGTCGTGAAGTTAGGGTGTTGAACTTTGTCATCCATAAGAAGTGTATGTATTTTAAAACAAATAAAATTCATCATCCAGATAGTGAACATAGGATGTTACAATAAATAGACAGATTATCTGGTTATGGGTAAGCAGGGACATTGTAAAGTAGACTGATATTTTGTGGTTTACTATGCCCTGACTGTCATGCTGCTTGCAGGTTTTAGGAAGTGGCTGTGGCTTTTCTTGGTAAACAAATACCATTTTACAAATACATATATAACAGCAACTGTCAAAACCAGTTAAAGATGGAGCACAAAGAAGTGTGACAACATTAAGACTGAGGTTCCCCTTCTGGTCAACATGTTTCAAGGCTGGCCTGGCAGCTCTTTCTTTTAAGCAGTTCTACATCCACATACACCTTTAGTCAGAAGGCTTTCTTTCTATGATATGGGAAGCTATTTGTTCAAATGAAATTCTACCCTGATGCAAGTTATAAAGACCTAGAATATAAGCCAATCATATTAGTATAACATTGATAAAGTATAAAGTTGAATGCAACAGGGAATAAGGATCAAACTCATATTACTGAAAGTTTCAAGAGGTCAGTCTACGGGTGGACAATATTTCAATATTAATATATATCGTAACATAGTTTTATTCAATAATAGTGATATGACATTATTGACATTCAAATATTCATTCTGTGAACATTTGTTCGAATTTGCATGTTTTCAAACCAAAAACTAGGCCTTGTTGGGTTATTGTATGATCTGGATGACTGAGAACCTTTAACAGCAAACCTAAAACAAGTGATCTCATGCCCTGTCAATTGAGTGGTAGTATCCTCTCCCGATAAATATTTAATTCTCTGTGAAGAAGTGCCAATCTTTCTTCAATAGTATTGTCGTCAAACTAACATGCAATGTTTGTTTTTAAAACCTAATGAGTCTAATGGAACAAGTGAATGACATTCACTATTTTTATTTTTATGAACAAAACTACGACAAAAATCTGACTATATCAGGAAATAAAACAGCATGATTGGTTCTAAGGAGAGCGGAAACAGCGGACCCTCTGGGTTTACTGAAGAAAACTGTTTTCAGGTTTAGAAAACTTCGAGTATTCAGTAAACCTGCTTCATGAAACGGACCCCCGATCTGAATAAGCTCTGACTAATAACAATCTACTGTTGTTTGGTGATTTCATGACAAACTGGGGTTCATTGGCTCTATGACAATTCCCACTGCTATCCTCTGTAAGAGGAGTCCTCCTTTAATGGGACACCTATATCTTACTGAGTCTTGGTAAAACTATTATGGTAACATTGCCTGCTAGAACCATCAAATATTTAGCGGTATAACATGTGTAAACAGTTTTGGTTTTGTCATAGTGGGTAGGTATGTTGAGTGTCCTTACCTATCCCACAGTGCTTCTTGTGAAACAGGTTGGTAATGAGAAACATTTCGCAGCCTCTAAACTGGGACTAAACCAGCTGATATTAATTTGCAATGATAGAAATTAGGGTTGCTTTCTAAATGCTGAGTTGTTTCGTATAAGTTTCCTGGATTTGTCTTTTGTATTTTTTATCATTTAATGGTTAATAAGTTCATCCCCTTTATTTCACACCATTTATATTTTTTAGATATTTTTGGCATCTTAAATCTTCCCTTCAAATGTAAGACTGAAAGTCTCTGACCTTTTTTTTGTCTTTAAAGGTTTCACAGCATCACCAAACAAGTATTTCACAAAGCCCATGCTTTCCTCTTGATGTACGACATCACTTCCTCTCAGAGTTTTTCAGCCGTCAGCTACTGGGCAAACTCCATCCAGGTAGGTTTCTGCTGCCACCCTCTGCCAAAGCTGTTTCCTGCTCAGAATAGGAATCTATACTTTCAACAGAGGTGGATAATCCAGATCAAGAAAGTTAAAACCCAGCCTAATTTTCCTTCATGGTCTTCTTTTAACCAGTTGTTAAGCCTGAAGTATGTGTTGTGTAGCTGAAAAATTCAAATGCTGGATTCAAATTTGAGTACAGGCTTTTTACCTTCTGGATCTGGATTATCCACCTCTGATTTAAAATTATTTTTTTTTTAAAAGACTTTAGTTTTAGGGGTCAGTAACAATGACCTATTGCTAGAGGAGTCCAATACACACGTGAATTTAGATCTGCATGTCGCGTCATCCCGAACAGCTTAAAACCAGGAACTTCTCCCTCACCTGTCTTGAAGTGAAAAGCCCCTTCAAATTAAAAAGAATAGTTTTTCTGCTACAAAAGTTTTTCCATTCTCTTTTTATTGACATAGTAAATCTAGCAGTGCTGTTATGTAGTGTCAGCGTTCCACCAGTGTCAATATTTATGGTCGCCTTCTAAGCAAAATAAATAGAAGTAATTTCAATATAGGATTAAATGTATTAATAACTAAACAAAAATATCTTAATCAATGCCGATACTTTAATTCTTGGTACAAACAAAGTTCATATTCACACTCCTATTAAAAATAGTGAATGTTTTTGTTGGTACATTTATTTGATAGTCCCTGAGTTAAACCTCTAGTAGCAGAAATTTGTATCTTGTGTCCTATTTAAAGCCAATAGTATTTGGTCCTCTCCTTGAGTCATACTTATTTAGATAAACATGCAACTGAAACTGCAGCTTAAAAACTAATCAAAAAAATCCATGCATTGCAGGAAGCTGCAGCAGAAGACGTGACTGTTCTGCTCCTGGGAAACAAAAGTGAACATGCAAAGCGACAAGTTAAAACAGCACAGGGGGACATCCTTGCTAAGGTACTGTTTGAGGCAATAAAACCCTTCAATCGTCTCTTTCTGGTAATGTTACACTGAATCCAAACACTTTTCTCCACAGGAATATAACTTTGAATTCATGGAGTGCAGCGCAGCAACAGGAGAAAATGTTATTGAGGCTTTAGAAACTGTGGCCAGGTAATACTCACCTATATCCAACATACATTTGTCTTAATAAAGGTATTCATATGTTTGAGCTTATTAACATTTTGTAACATTCCAACCTTTTTACCATTAAACGTAGAACATTGTTGTCCTGTGTAGGGAAAAACACAATCACTGTATTATAATTGGATCTCAGCATGAATCCAGCTGTTCTTTGAAGAGCTCAGTGCTCATTGGAGAACAAAAAGCATGGTGAAGATCACAGAACACTGCAGATAGTTTAAAGGCCTCACAAATGCAGCCTTTATGAAAAACCTAATAGACAGACAGAGCCACAGCTAAAAACTATGGTTAAATATAGAACTTCATTTTCCCAGATGGTCTCCAGCTGAACACTAATACACTATACTTTACAAATTTTTATTTAGAAAAAAAATAAAAAGCAATCTTCATCCTTTCACTTCAGAAGCCTTACTTTAAATAGCACACATCATAAGTGTACATGTGAGTGTGTACATTTTGAAACGGTGTGAATACTTATTCAACACATTGCAGAAACCCAGTGATGAGTGCGTTGACATTTTATGGCTTCGTTTTGTATTTGTTTTTTTCTTGCTGTTGGCAGGATGCTGAGTCACAGAACTGACCTGCTGAGAGAGGAAGTCACAGTGTTACACAAAGAGCCGACAAAGAGAAGATCAAAATGTTGCTGAACCGATGCGTTTGTTTCACCAAGCAAGAGACATCCTGCCAATACTGGAGATCATTTCCTGAGGGAAACTCATACGGAAACAAAATGTATATAAAGTTACTATTACTTTGATTCCTCTTTATTATTTAATCTATAAAGGTACTTTTATTCTGAAACAGAGAAGTAAAAAAAAAAGTATGCGTTTAAAATGTGTTTGTTTTAACACCATCTTTATAAATCAGCTGCATGGTGAAAAGAAAAGCAGAATTTAGGTTTATCTAATTGTTTATTATGAGAATTTGTTTAGAATTTATCTTGTGGGACATTTTTTGGTTTGTTTTCTAATACGTCAAGAGGGCTTCCTTATTGGTTGAGTTTTCTGTTTTGAAAAGTTTTTGGTGTCCTCAGGTCCAGGTTTCATGTAGATACATTTCCATACAAGATGTTTTCTCTGCTCAAGGCTCTCAAGGTTAAGAAGAGTCGCTCTTTCTTGAACTCTGCTCTGAATCATCTTTAAAACAATAATTTGTCACACATCCTCCTCTCAGTGGAGTGCCAAGGGACTCTGATAATCACTTAAATGTATTTGCCTTTATTAAAAACAGTGATTGTAAATAAAGATTTCAGTTCAAATGGGGTTTTTTTTACAAACTTTTTTTTTCTATGCTGATGTGCCTCGCCAACATAACCCACACTGATGAGAAACTCTGCTAAAGAAAAACCCAGAGACACAATCAATCACACAGAATTGATCTAATCTCATGTTCTATTCTCAATTAACTCCCAGTTTAACAATTTGCCTGCTTTGCAGACTTAATTTGTGTCCTCAAGTGAGTAGTGTTCCTCCAAACTGACAAAGAAAGCTGTGTTCCCAGAGGAACAACAAGTCCTTCAATGGCATGAGGAGCATGACAGCAATGGCGCCACGGCAATAACCTCATAGCTTCCCACAGGACGTTCAGCTGAGAACATAAATGCAGAGATGAACTCCTCCAGCATAAACAGAGGTCATGGATAATTACAGCAGATCTGATTTTAATGACTGGCACTAACTTTAGACAGTACGCTCACTCGCCAGTGAAAGTTCATTCCGTCTGTGTAGTTAAACACATAAACATTGACGTAGATAGTTTTCAGAGGAACACATTAAACAGCCAGAAAATTCTGGATTGTGTCCGTTTGGACCAAAGCAAACAATTAATCAATAGTGTTCAATAGGAAAGTTGTTTAAGTTTTAAAGTGAATCAGTTTCTCCTTTATTCATTTAAGATTCCAGCACGTTTTTTTTTAATGGCAGGTTTTTCTACAGTGGTCAAGCTTTAAATAGGAAATCTGCTAAAACCACAGACTGATGGAGGGTTTGACAGATGATTAAAGGATGGGGGAGATAAGGAATGAGTAGATAAACAATGGGTGCAACTTTTAGGTTAAAGGAAAATAAATTATTTTTCACTGTTTTTAATATTTTTTCATAACTGGAAAGCATAGAAAATTTCATGCTTTTCTTATCCAGTTTTGTGCAGCAACCTTATTTTTCCATGTAGCTAAATCACCTCTAGGAAATGAAAAAAATTTATACACAAAGAGAAAACAGTTCAGCCGCCATATCAGAAGGAATTAGACGTATACTTCAAACTCTAACCATTACTGCAGACTTTAGGAAGACTAGTATGGAAATAAATCATATATAAAACTGGTTTAACCTTTTCCATTTAGGATGCATTTCCCCAATAGAAGAAGCTGCAACATATATAAACTTCAAGCATAAAGAGTGGAATAATGAAATTGATTCATACTTGTGACCTGTGGTCAGGGGAGGCAGGAGAGCCACCTGTCATCATGAGAAGTAAATTGTATGATTAAAAGATAAGAAACCCAATTTGTCCTCTGAACTGTAATATAAATTAATTCCCAGTTTGAATTTAATAATTTTTTTATGATAAATATTCAGCAATTAAGAAATAGCAATTCAAATACATTGGAAAAAGGCAGAGTTAGGCAGGAAATAGTTCTGCCTCACCTCTGGCTGGGCTGACATACACACAGTAGCCCACCTATTTGCAGCATTCCCATTGCTGTCTTTCTTTATTACAACAATGTGTTGGATTACACATGTACAAAACAAATTGTTCCATTATCTGTTCCTTTAATTATTTTGTGTGATCCTTGAAAAGCAAAAATAAACAGGCAAAAATGACAGTGCCTTACAGATAGGGGGCAGCGCTGAGCATGATTACCAAAGACAGCAAGAGTATAAGGTGCACATTGTTACATACTCCTCAGCTGCACCAATTTATATGTATTCTGAGAAAATGGTAATTATCTTTAAAAATAGCCGAAAAACTGAAAGATTTTACTAAACTATATTTTCAGTATTAATAGGTTTTAGAGAGAGGCAGACCAACACTAGACCTTTAAGAGCTCCAAGTGCTTCTTTAAACATGAGAGGGAACCAAAGAAGTTTGAGGCTAAACAGATTGATTTATCTTTTAATGGGCAGCAGAGACTGAACATCACCGACACAAAGTTGAGGGTGCAGGGATTTGATTAATGACACGCTCTTCTTTTGACTTCATATATAAATAAAGGTAAGCAAATGCATAGTTTCTAGTTTAAATAAATATATGACTCTATAAAAAACTTTATATGCTGCTACTGAGTCGATTATAGCATAATAAAAAGCTTAAAAAATTTATCAAATAAAAGCTAAGTGTAAGCTTTTATTTTGGGTTTATATAATTTTGCTTACGGCTCCAGATGACTTGGTGCCTTAGCAGTTATAAACTTCACCACTTGTTACAGAATCATCGTACTGAATTACACCGTTTTATGTTTAAGAGGTAATATATAACTCATTGCAGAGATGACAGTCCTAACTGACCCACTAATTGGTTGGAACCGTTCCTTTTTCTGCTACAAAAATAAATCCTCAAAAGGCTTTAAGAAATAAGAAATAAGCTGTAGGCAAGTTTTTAATTTTCATAGAATCTAAAAAAGATTTGCTTAACAGGAACTCGAAATGGTTGTGATGTTCATAAACTTATCAGCTAAGAAATCAGGGACACTTCTTGATTACAGCTTAGAGTTTTTTCTATGAAAGCATAAGGAGAGATTAATAAAATAAAGAACCTTAATGGATTTGTTTAGAGGGTTTCAAAGCCCCAAACATTACTTTAATAACTGTTTTAACCTGCATCTTAACTTGATTTTTTATGTTCCTACAAAGTGAAGCAGGTATATATTTTAGAACGGCTTCTCATAAAGCAGCAGTTATTTGGTTTAGTATTTTTTTTCCAGATCTGTCCCCCTTATAGGGAGAGCATTGCTTATAGCTGAAAAAGATTGGGGCAGAGGTGAAACAAAGTTCAGAAATTGTATTATTAATTTAAATAAATATATTTGATCATGTACATAAAATTCTGATCAACTTTAAGGAAAACTCAGTATTTTTTTTTTTTGGACTAAATTAATCTGTTTGGCACATCTTGCTTCCAGTGTGGGAAAATTACTTCAATTAAACAATATAAATGTCTCAAATATTGTTCTTTTATGACTTTGACATCGTTACCAACATCTTTATTTTTAACATTTCTTTATGAAGGGTATGTTTTCTTCTTTCTTCAATCATCCAAACAGTTCTTCCTATTAGCTGCTTTGCGCCTCAGTTGCTTCCTTATTGTCTCTATTTTCCTCAGGGCCTGTGAGTTTTTCCTCAGATGTTTGCAACATTACTTCATCTGTTCGTGTCCTGGAGATTTTCTTGCTTTTCTTTTTTGAGCGGTATTGCTGAATAGCGCGCATGACATCAGCAGCAGTCCATTGGTGACGAGTGAGAGCATCCTGTAGGGTGAACTGCCCATCTCTGGTTCGCCTCACTCCCTTACAAACTGCCGAGCTGCGCAGCTCCAGTCCGATCTCATGCACGACTTTGCACAAATACTTCTGAGTTTCATTTAAGCACTGCACCTCTGGAAAGACAAAATACACATATGAAGCATCCCACAAGGCAAAGAAATTATGTATATTTTCTCTTGCTCTGCTGAGATTTACCTAGGGTGAAATTTGGTGGCTGGAAACGAATGCATCGTAAGCCTGTCAAAATAGGAATCGATTTCCCGTCTGGACCCAGTAAACCTTTGACGGCCAACTCATACGCTTCCTGTGAGCTCATGTCTACATTGGAATACCTTTCCGGGGAAAAAAATAAACAAATCAAGCGTCACATCTGTGTGATCATTTTGTTCCTTATAGATGCCGAAACAATGAAACAAAAAGATTAATGTGTGATGTAAAAATGAAAAATACGTTGCATACATTCTCAGGGCTCTCTGATTGGCTCCCTCCAGCATGGCTATCACCTTCTCCATCTTGTCCCGTGTGATGTGACCTAATGAGCAAGGAGATTTTTATGCCTTTTATGCTAAAGATTTAAATTACAGCTGAAGGAAAACTTAAATTCTATGCAAAAAGGTAACTTTACCTTATTTATGTGAAGATACTGACTAAGGAAACATCGTTCAAAGTTTCTCACCGTAAGTGGTTCTCTCCACAACTCGACTTGCGTGAGTGAAATCCTGTGTTGCTGTTCCAAATTCACAGTCCAGAGTGTAATCCTTTAGTAAAAACACATATTAATTAGTTTGATCTAAATAACTTCTGATGTTTATTATAGGCTACTGGATGAGAAATTACCCGTGTAGTTCGTGTTCTGTAGAGATCGTTCAGGATTCTGTTTCCCTTCCCAACAGCAAGAACTAAAAGAAAAAGATCTTAGCAAATGTTCTGAAAAATTATTTAAGAGACACAATGTTGTTATACGGCCTCCTTAGAGTTTTACCAAGAACACCAGAGGATGAGACATCCAGGCGGTGACCAACTCCAACCTTGATAAGCTGGAATTCAGGACCCGTCACTAAAACATAAGGAAATGTGTTTCACTATAAAGGGAAAACATTGATTACTACATAATGCCATGATATCGATTATATTTAACCCATATTTCTTCACGTTTTACTGGGAATGATCCTTGACAGGGGCCAGTGTATCTAGAACTGGTGCTGGCCCCTGTCCTCAAGACGACACTAAAACAATCCCAATGATAGGTGTCGGGGCAGACGGTTACTGATGGGTCAACTCATTTCATTTTTCCCCCTTTACAGTTCTTAGACAAACTTTGTCATTTTCTACACACTGGAAGTATACAAAACTAAATTTTGTTCAGTACAGCTCTCAAGACATTTACATTTCTTAAAGTGATCAAATGTAAACATAAGACTGAAGTATGATTTACAGTTTTTCCAACATTCAGCACTTTTTTTCTGTTTTATTCAACATTCATCAGTCTAATGGCAGTGGGGAAGAAGCTGTTGCAGAATCTGCTGGACCTGCATCCAATGCTGCGAAGCTTCTACCCAGAGGGCAGCAGGGAGAACAGGCCATGGTGGAGGTGTCATTTATAATGTTACGGGCTCGGGGACAAACAGCACTAGATGAAATGTCTTTTATGGAGGGAAGAGGAGCCCTGATGATCATTTTCTCTGCAGTTCTCATTACTCTCCTCACCTTCTTCCAGTCTGTGGCGTTGCAGACTCCACACCTCACAGTGGGACAGCTGGTCAGAATGCTACAGTTCTGGTTTAATCTAGATTAAATAATTACAGTGATACCTTCAGTCTTGTTGAGATAGCATCACAGGATTGATAATCACAAAATGTTATTTTGAGCCAATTTGTAAAAACTTTCTCTTATTTGTTGCATCCGAATTTATCAGTTTTACTTACGTTCTAATTATGATTTGACCAAAACTGGTCCTTTTCATATAAATTAAAAAAAAAATGTAATATTCCTGTATTATGAATGTACATTGATGTAATATTCCAAATTATATTTTTATTTAGCAATTATTTCAGTCGCTTTTTCCCCCATATTAATTTTTTTTTAAATATTATTTAAATTCAGTAAAATTACATTTTTCAAACAAAAAATACAACTCAATATAATTGGCACTTCTTTTTTCTCTTATCTGAAGCATTTCAGCTACTGACAGACACATGCATCTGATGTACATCAACAGTTGACACCAACCAAACATTGCTGGCATGAATTTAACAAAAAAAAAAAGAAAAAAAAAAAGAAAAAAAAAAAGTGTTTCCCTATAGTTGGTGAAAAGGTCAAAGGAGCAGCTCTTGGGGTTTGTTAGATCGCAGGTATAACTTTCTGAAGGCCTGGTGTGGACCAATAAATTCTGCTTCCCCCCCCTTCTGCTCATTTACTGTAGCCAACAGTAACTGGATTTGAGTGCAGCTGTGTTCAAAGTGTTTTCAGTCTCTTGGTGGTATATCATGGGATCTGTCACTTTAAGACATAATATTATTGGGGTGGCTATTCACTGCATACAGAGTAGCTGTTATGTTGGAGGACAGACACAGCAGCACTCAGTGAATTTAAGCGGCAGCTACTTCAATATAAGTTTAAGTAAAAGTTACGAGACGGGTTTGTTAAAAAAATTAGAGATGCCACCGAAAAATCTGTTTGTTAAACATTTGGAGGTTTTTCAGCTAAAAATGGCAACTGATATAAGTTTATACAAGTTAGTTAATAATGCCATAGGTTTGAAAAAATGTTTAAACGTTTTCTTCTTCTTTACTAGTTATAAAAAAAAAGTTGGGCTTCTCAGAGGACCATGACTCACAGTTTCAGGTTAAAATGAACACATATCTGTTGTTTTCTTATTGAAGAGAACCAGACTGCAGAGCTTATAGATATCTTGAAAATGAGTTTCTCTGGCATCATGACAATAGGAGAAAGGTTCATAAATCTTTTTTAAGCAGAGCAGAGACACAAGCAGGGAGAGCTACAGATTTAAGTGTAACAGATTTACTGGAATATGCAACATGCAATAAAATATGTCTCCAAATTTACCAGAAAGTTTACAAGAAAAAAAAATGCTATGCTATAATTAAATTCAATACATCTGGTTGTCTTGTAATTGTCATTCTTTTTATACATTAACCTTTTTTAGCCCTTTACAAATAATGACCTTAAAGGCATCTATCTAACTATCTAGAAATATTTCTGTACTGTGGTACTCTTGCATTCGAAACAATAAGAAAGAATTCAATAAAAATACGTTTGAGCTCATTTTAGGAAAACGAAAAAACCCTAATGAAAGCAATCGGGTCCAATAACGATAGGTCTAGAGGGACAGACATACCAAGAGGACGGAAGAAGAGACATACCAAGAGGACGGTGGGAGGGACATACATGCCACATGCCAAGAGGATGGAGGGACAGACACACCAAGAGGATGGAGGGACAGACATGCCACATGCCAAGAGGATGGAGGGACAGACATGCCAAGAGGATGGAGGGACAGACACACCAAGAGGATGGACAAAGAGGATGGAGGGACAGACACACCAAGAGGATGGAGGGACAGACACACCAAGAGGATGGAGGGACAGACACACCAAGAGGATGGAGGGACAGACATACCAAAAGGATGGAGGGACAGACACACCAAGAGGATGGAGGGACAGACATACCAAGAGGATGGAGGGACACACATGCTCAGGGGACGGTGGGACAGACATACCCAGGGGACGGAGGGACAGACATACCCAGAGGATGCTGGGACAGACATACTCAGAGGAGGGTGGGACAGACATACCCAGAGGAGGGTGGGACAGACATACCCAAGGGATGGTGGGACAGACATACCCAGAGGATGGACCAAGAGGATGGAGGGACAGACACACCAAGAGGATGGAGGGACAGACACACCAAGAGGATGGAGGGACACACATGCTCAGGGGATGGAGGGACAGACATACCCAGAGGATGCTGGGACAGGATGGGGACTGAAGCAGCGCGCAGTGTCAGGCCGCTGGATGCTCCGGCTTCATCGTTTGATAAGAATCGAACCTCATGAGGAAGAGGCAGAGCAGGTGTAGCGTTCAGACCTGAGCAGGACACATTCTGTTACTATCCAGTTTTACTTGGAGCTGTGGTTCAACATGACGGCGAGAAACGATGCAATTTAGGAGATAAACAGTAACACATCTCACCTTTCAGAAGGTTGGTCTCAATAGTGTCTCTCACCAGCTTCCAGTGAACCCCTGCGGGTTTATGGACACAGAACAGGCCCTCCAGACTGCGGAACATCCGCATAGCTGGACTCCTCATGGCGCAAATTTTACTTCAACAAAATTTTACTGAAAATAAGCAATGTCATTTGAAACGTCTCGGCTTTCTTAGCTTTCTAGTTAGCAAAGCAAGGCTGAACGTGGACCTTTGCGCATGCGCACACACATTCTGTGGAATGGTGTCTAACGCTGAGCGGACACTGCCCTCTACTGGGCTGGCTGTATTTAGAAACCAATTATTTAAATGGTCATATAAGAGCTGACAGAGTTTACATGACTTTGTTGTTAATTAAGATACGTGATGTAAAACTGAAACTTGGAGTATTGGGCGTTAATATATTTATACGTATTTATATATTTATAATACATAAACCAGTCGCTAGATGGCAGCAGAGGTTCGAAGGTCAAATTATGAAGCAGACGGAAAGAACATGAAGACATTAAACTTGACATTGTTGATTTACTACAAAAGGAATCAGGAAGCAGAGGATATCAGGTTACATTTTAGTTTTTGAAACAGATTAAATTCTATAACAGTATAAAGTTTATTTTGTTTTTCTTTTTTGCCATATGTTCCACACTTCTTACCACTTGGTGGCGGTAATGCTCACCTATCATTTTTCGCAACCGACATAAAAAATTTCAACGGGAAGAAGAAGAACAACATGTAGAGGAAGGAGAGAACGAGTTTGTATAATTTTGCTTTTAAATAGCTGCTGATCGTGAAGACTTTATATCGGTAATGTTAAAGCTTTTCTGTTCTCTTCTCTAAAACAACGTAAAATGTTGAATAGCAGGGAGACTCAGACAGTAAATCTGCTTTTTTTCTGTATGCTGCTGATAAACAGAATGTTATAAAACAGGCTACTGATGTGTTTATGTTCAGTGAAATGTGTCAAGGTCAGTGAGAAAAGATTACTTTTTATAAATATATAGCTTCTCTACAGTATTAGTTGGATTTGGTCTTTTGCAGGTTTGATCAAACTCATCTAAATCATGCAGGAAACATGCAGCTGGTTCTTGTGACAATCTGGATCAAAGCAAGAGTTATGAAAGTTTACTGGAAAGGTTTTGCATAAATCGATCCCAGGGTGGAAAGACAATAGAAAGGCTTTGAGGAAGCCAAGTCAAACAGTGTTATGCTGAAAGAAATGGAGGAAAACACAGTAATTAACAGGCTATAGTGGAATGACAGCTGGGCTGCAACTAACATTATTTAGCAAATCAATTAATCTGTCTATTTTTCTGGATTAATTGATTAATAATTGGATAGCCAAAGGTTCCATAACCCTTTATAAGGCAAGTCACTTTTGGGAGGGGGGGATTAACAAGTCAATTAAATGGTATAAATCTAACTGAAAAGTTTAAAAGTAAAGTTAAAAGTTAATAAGCCTAGTTAACAATTATATTTAGGTATATAAACTAATGTTATGTTGTACCAAAAAAAAGTGTGTTTCTTTATTTGAGAAAGTTGACATTTCTTGTTATTACATTGACATAAATTTTTGCCATCAAATTATTCACATTTTTTTGTTGTCCTGGATTTCAGTAACACTATTGGCTTGAAATTTTGATTTTCAAAGTGTTTCACTGAGTGCTCTATAAAGGGTTAGAGAAGTTTTTTACTAAATGAAACCAGATGAAACTAAAACTGTCTGGATAGAGATTCTAGATACAGTAGAGCATATTGACAGACGAAAACTTTTTATTTTATTTTATTGCAAAATGTTCATCTTTGGTTTTACAATTTTGATATAATTACTGCTCAAAGTGGGTTGCTCTGTCAGCTAAAAGCACAGTCTCTATTCTCCAGTTAACGATTAATTGATTACTAAATTAGTTGAAGATTATTTCAGTAATCGATGAATCACGATTAATCTGATTGTTTCCACCCTAATGACAGCACAAATATTCTTAAAATATTTCAGTGCTGCAAAGGTGCAGGTTGGATGAATCCATAGTGCTGCTTGACTAATTTGAGCAGAGGAGATCAGAGCTGAGACATCATCTATAATGAAGAGTTCAGTGTTTGGCAAAAAAAAAAAAAAACAGATCATATAACTTTGGCTACACAGAGGAAACCTTTGTGCTTGTTGTCTGATACTGTTCTCTCCAAGGATCCACTTGGTTATCGTTGCGGGTACTGATGGAAACATGTTCATGAAATTTGTTTTATGTTGCTATTTATGTGCAAATATGCAAATAGGTTCAATTCCTTTTCATATTATGAGTTTATCTCCAAAACTTAGCTTTAGACTTTATCTCCTCCTGTGTCCCCTACCCTGGATATCAAGCTGAGACATTTTAGGGATGTCTCAGCTTTATAAGATGCATTTGAAAACAGCTGCTTTGCTGGAAAAAGTTTAAGATCAACCTATTAGAAGCTACATAAATAAGTGGGACACCACATGCTTTTTGTGCATATAAAATGACATATGAAGTGCATATTAAAATGACCACAAATCCATAGGATACAGCTGAGGACATTTCAAATATTAAATATGCTAAATAAAAGTGGTTTTAAGGCAGAAAATTAGTCATGGCCGACAAATTAATGGATATTCCTACTCATCTGGCAACTTTCTAGTAATTATAGTCATTGACACCCTCATTAAACAGGATAAGCCCTGTTGACTTATGCTGCATTTAAACAAGTTACTGGAAAATTAAGTGGAAGGAAGACAGCTGTAGAGAGATATTTATCATCATAGGGGATTTCTTAGCGTAATGGGTGCACACATTATAAATACTCCTACCTGCAGTTTGAGTTCATAAACAAAAGAACTGCTCTCTATGTGTAGATTCAGTACCATGAGGCCCAGAAAATGCTCACTGGAGTAGCGTTTGATTGGCCACATTTTAGGTGATCCTGCCTCTTGAGATTGTACTTAGACTTAACTTTATTTATCACTTTGGATTACTCCTTCAGGGAAATTCTGGTTCCAGTAACTTATATAGAGTACAAAGGGAAGAGTTAAAGCAAGATGCCATTAAAGATAAAATTGCAACAGATAACATAAAAAGAGTGTATATAGTGCAAAAGAGCATAAGAAAAGTTGTAATGTCTTGGAATATGTTACCTTTAGATATAAAAATATCTGCACATTAGAGAGCTAAGGAAAGACTGCAGTAGTTGACTCTGTTTTGCGTGTTCAATCAAAAGAAAGCAGTAGAATAAACTAAAAGTACAAAAGGGTTGAAAAAAAACAGAAACAGGAAACCAAGAGTAGAAACTAGAGAGCTACTAGAGAGGCTGCCGTCTCCTATGGCGCTGTAAGTATGGGAAGGGAAGGAAGTACCAGGCTACTGTTTTCTTCCTGGTTGTTGCTTTTAATTGTAGAAAAGCATCTGCAGCCTAATCACTGTTTTCAAGATTTGGAAATTTGTTAAGTGAAGTAAATGAGCCTAATATGGTCATAGATGTGGTCTGACAGGAGTGAGCTATGCTAACGGTGGTTTACTGTGGAGCAATTTGAGAGCAACATGAACATGTTTATGGTTGAACACAGGCAGGGGTCTTTCTAATCAGTTTGCATCTATTAAGTATTTGTCCTTTTTGTGTCCAACATTGAATTTAGAAGATTAATAACAAAGATTACTGCTACATATGAAGTCAAAATAAACTTCAAGACCAGGTGTCAGGAACCTTTACAATCCAAAGAGACGTTTTTGACTTCAGTTCAGCTAATAAAACTCACTTAGAGCTGCAAAAATTAGCTTAGCTTTTTTTTTTTTCTTTTAAAGGAAAAAGATAACTTATGTTAAATAAATAACCACCAGATTTGTGCTTTTGGAAAACCACAGTGCCATTTCAAATTTAGGGTTTTAAAATGACGGAAAAAGAGAATAGATACATTTTAATGGGTTGTAGAAATTCGTGGAGATTTATACAAAAAAAAATAAATAAATAAATCCCCACTTTTAAAGGATAAACAATATGTATAATTATAGTCAGTTTATTTTGAAATTCAGTGGAGAAAAAGCTAAAACATGTATTTTACATTTTATCTGTATTTTTTAGAAAATTATCCGGCTCTTTAGCATCTTTAATCAAAGTAAGGAAAAGCTATTGTCAGGTGTCTTAAGGTCCACTTTGGGCTCCGGGGCCACAGTTTGCAGACCCTTTCTCTAAGACAACAGTGTTTATTTTGAAGATGCTTTGTTAACATTATTAACCACAACCAGGAAGAAAACAGTATAATCTAAGGAGGTGGGATTATATTAAACATAGCCAATCATAGGGCGTTTAGTTTCTCTTGGTGGGTACCGCCAGATGCCACGGACGTGCAGACAGCAGGTCAGAAGCATGTTGAGAAAAACCATGCTCTCATGTGTTGCAGATTGTGTACTGAATCTGGCTGCATATATCATTAAAAAGGAATGTGAAGAACAGTTGATATGTGTAGGAATTGAACATAACTGCCTGAAGGAGTATTGGTTCATCTTTTGCCCTCTTTGGCAGAATTCTGACTTTATATGCATCGATATTTTTAACAGTTTGCAGGAAATTTGCAAGTTGAATATTTTAGGCTGGAAAAGTCTTTACGCAGTTCTCTATTTTTGTAAGAAAAATGTTTAAGTTTCATCTGTTGCACTGACCATTTTACACTACACACAGATTTCCCTAATATAATTATTAAATTACACACTATATATCCCAGTCTCTATAGTTTTCTTAGGATTCTGAATGCACTGCAGAAAAAATCATTTTTAACAAAGTAATTTTAATGTTTTGCTCAGTTTTGCCTGTGTCATATCTGTACAGCTGCAATGCGAGGCAGTCCTCTGCGCTGGGTGTTGTGGGACGTCAAAGACACCCTGCTGAAGGTGCGCGGGTCTGTGGGACTTTTGTATTCCAAGGAGGCTGAAGAATGGGGGCTGAGCCTCCAACCTGCAGAGGTCAATGCTGCTTTCCGGGAGACCTACCGGCGTTATTCCAGCAGATACATGAACTACGGCATCTCTCAGGGTCTGAACGCACAGACTTGGTGGACAGGAGTCGTGCGAGACACCCTTTCCCAGTGCGGGGTCAAAGACCCTGCCCTGGCAAATACCATGGCTACCAAACTTTATCACGACTTCTGCAATGCTGAAAATTGGGAGGTAATCATCACTTCACATGTTATCAGAGGCTTTTGAACACACAGTTTTTAAGTAAAGGATTTAGAGGAAATGTGTCTGATGTTGTTTCCAGGTATTTCCAGACTCTCAAACAGCTCTTGCAAGATGTTCTTCCCTTGGACTGAAGCTGGGAGTTGTATCTAATTTCGACAATCGCCTTGAAGAGATTCTACGAAGCTGTGGGCTGCTGTCCCACTTCAGCTTTGTGGTGACATCAGAGGGGGCCGGTGTGGCGAAGCCCAGTCCAGCAATCTTTCATCAGGCCCTCCAAAAATGTGGCACATCGGCTGACAGAGTGGCTCACATCGGGGACCACTATGAGTACGATTACCTCGCGTCCCGGTCTGTGGGCATCCACGGCTTTCTGCTAGACAGAGACAACACACACAAAGACAAAGGGGATGTCCCTCAGGAGCACCGGATCGTGTCATTGGACGATCTACCTTTACGCCTCCAGGAACATTTGGCCTGATGACTCAAACACAAAATACATCTATACATCTATTTTGGGAAGGAGTGAATGTCATCTATGTTGTTTGTGAACTTAGATGCACCAATGCGACGCACAATTTATTTTTTTGCAGCATAGAAATATGAGAGAAGCCATATAAGGATGTATATTGTGTTTTCACTGTTACAGTGTTATTAAACATCTTTAGATTTATTTTAATGTCTTAAAAATTGACCATTGACATGAGAACATTACCCTGCAATATTTATTGAAAATAAATATGTGCATTTTTATAATTAGCTTATTATTTGTTTTCTTGATTTCAAAACATTCTTTTTAAAATGCATATTAATCTATTATTGTATCAACTCAATTAAGGGGGAAAAAAACAAAAAAAAAACTATCCAGTTCAACTTGGTGAAAAAGGATAAACCTCTCGTCCTAATTCCTGGTTGTGCAGCTCTTAGAAGAAGTGTCTAATATTAACTTGAGGATTTTTTGACCCATTTTGGTCAAATTAAGCTGCATTAGGTTTATTTTCTTTTTGAGGAAGAGTGTCTCTCCTCTTCCTCAGCCTGTCGTAAAACTACAGCATCTTCTAACAGACTTCTTCTGATTCAGATGGCTAAAAGGGATCCTTCCTGCCTAAAGTCATCAAGATTTACAGCTTATAACATTTAAATTTGCTTTGTAATTAAAGTATTTTGGAATAGAATTTAAGGTGTTGCCACAGGATCAGCTGGTTTATTAAATCAAGAATAACTTTTTCTTTTTCCAAAAAATTTAGAGTTCTAAATTCGGCAGAACTTCTTATCAACCGATTAACGCAGCAGCAGGCCTGGCTCTGAACAGACCAAAACCCCTAAAGTAAGGTGTTAGAGATTCTGAACATAAGGACAATAAATATTGAATAAAATAATTCAGATGTAGTTGAAGTTTAGGCATTGTGCTCTAGTTCAGAAAGTTTAAAAAAACAATTGAATAAAAATGTGAGGAGCTAAACCATTTTTTAAACACAATCCATCATTCCAGGGCTTCAAAAGTTATTGAAAAAAATAAGATAACTAAATAGATTGTTATACACCCCTTTTGTTGGCAAGTATTCCCTGAAGTCTTGAGCTCACAGATCATCAATAAACACTAGTGACCCAGTGCCACTGGCAGCCAGGCATGCCCAAGCCATCACACTACCTCCACCGTGTTTTACAGATGACTTGTTATGCTTTGGATCATTGTACCACGATTTCGCCAGACTTTTTTCTCTCCATCATTCTCGTAGAAGTTGATCTTTGTTTCATCTTTAAAATAAACTTTCAGAAGTGCAATCAATTTTTTTTTGCCCAATTAGTTGTTTTATTCTTGAAATTAATAAGTGGCTTTTGTCATGCAATGAACCCTCTGTATTTACTTTCATGCAGGATTCTCTTTATGGTAGATTTTAATATTGACACATGTACTTCCTGGAAAGTTCTGCTTATTTGGTTGACTGTTATAAAGAAGTTTATTTTCACTACACTGCAAAAACAATGTAGAAGTTGATCAAATTCATTAAAATAAATGTATTTACCCTTAATTTTAGTAGATAAATATGATAATCTGCCTACAAAATTAGTATTTTTACACTTAAAATAAGATAGATATTATGCGCTTAAAATAAATAGCAGTAAATGTAAATTGTGTAATTGCCAAAGTGTCTCACCTTCCTGCTCAATTCAAGAAGAGTGTTAAAGATTTTTTTTTTTTTTTTCCCCAGTGTATGGGAGTTATTCTGTACCCATACACAACTGTTGTCTTCCATGGATGTCCAGGTCTTTTTCCTTCTTCCTTCCTCTAATCAACTCCAGGCGTTTTATCTGCTTGACAGAGTGACATAACAAAGGAATTGCCTGACACCTGCCCATGAAATAGCCTTTGAGTTAATTGTCCAATTACTTTCAGTCCCTTTAAAAACAGTGTTGCACATGTTAAGGAGCTAAAACTCCCACACGTTTCATCCAATTATGTGGATATCCACAAATGAAAGCTGGAAGAGTGGGCTTTATGCCCGCTTCTATTATAAAACTTGAGTATGTTTCAGTAAACCTGTTACAAAAAAAAAATAGATTTAATATTTTAAATGCCAAAATGTACAGAAAATAAAATAGAAGTTGTCAGGGTGGGTTCAAGTTACACACTATTGAAGCACATTAAATATACAAGCATGTAGCCATACTTTAGCTGAGGCTGCACAGCTTTTATTGTTCACAGAGATTTATTGCAGGGCTAAGCAGCAAAAAGAGGGAAGGATTGCTTAACCCTAATGCCTTTGTAAATACTCTTATTTCAAACCATCTGGTCAGAAGTAGATACTAGGAGATATTGGTTTGAGGAAGATCTCCTTCATGGGAGGCGATCTTCAAGGCACGACTTTGGCCTTTTACAGAAATTACAGCTTGGCACTTGTTCATGGCAGATTTTAATTTAATCAGTGAAAATAAAGGCATGATATACAAGTAGACAATCAGCTTTTAATAACTGTTCCATTTGTCCTCTTTTGCATTTATTTGTGTCCACAATGAGAGAATTCTGACTAAAAAATTTGTTTGTTTTCATGACTGCGACCAGAAGAGCTGCTTAATTCAAAACTGGTTTAGAAGCTCAGCCAGACGGCTCTAAAGAGCTTCGCCCAAATCCAATTGGCGACATAATGAGATTTCAAAACGAGGCTTCTCTGGTGGATAGAGAAAAGGGAAGAATGAGAAAGGATGCAGCATAGCATTGTAACACAGAACACTCCAACCCTACAGTGCAGTTAGAGCCAAGAACAAACACTTCAATGGGAGAAGGTTCAGATCGTGTGACGCAAAGGCTGGAAACATTTCCCTCAGATATAAAAGCACTCAGGCCTTTTGTTGGAAACTTGTCTGGGCTCCATGGTTCAGCTTTCTTCACCTCTTAAAATATTTAAAGTAAAAAAAAAAAGAATAGGAAAACAAAGATGCGTGGAGGGAGATATAAAAAAAGAAAAGAGCTTCTGAAGTTAGAAGAGGGTCAAATGATGACGGATGGGAATAAAGATTTATAATGCTTGCAGTGCTATCAAAAAGCCAGGCTTCAGACTAATAAATGACACCATAAATGAGAAAGCTTTTGTTTGTTTTTTATTTAACACATATTTTGCAAGTAAAGTAGAAAACCAAATTACTTTGACAAATATATTTAAAAAAAAATCTGCAATAGCTGGTTTTGTGCAATCCCTTAAACTTCAAAATAACTTTATTTAATCTTTAGCTGCAGTGACTCTAATTTACCAGAGATAAGGTGAAGCTCTCAGAGGAATTCCAAACATTTGCATCCTTTGACTCATCCTTTGTAGAGAGAAATTCATTGTATAAATGTTTACGTCAGGACAAGATTAGAAGAGATTCTGCCGAATTATACAACCACAGTGAAACCTGCCATTAGTAAGTGGAGAAAATGTGGGAGAATATGAAAGTTACAAAAAGTCTGCAAAATGAAGAAGACAATTTCACAAACAGCATTATTGAAAGAACTACGATCCCTTGGGCCCCACCAGAGTTACTAGACAGATTTTTCTATCAAAGACAACATCCAGTCATGGATACCATCTCCCTAAACTAACTGGGTAATGAGTCTAACAAACCAGGAAATTATATTTTGAACCCCCCAAAAAAGAGGATCGTTTTGTTTTTCTCAAGGTGTGTGTACTTTTGAAATCCACTGCACTTATATAAAATAAACAAGAAAAACATTTTCATATTTAATCTTTCATTGGAAAGAACAAATAAGTGTAGCTTTTCAGCCATAACAAAAATCTGACCACAAGGGTACAGTAAATTTCAGAGGATTTTACTAATATAGAACAAAATATAGTTCAGATCTTTTAAACAAAAACAACTTTATCATGTTTTTTAGATTTCTTTTGGCAATCAAATACCCAATATTTATTGAACTTTTTTTTTTTTCTTACACAAAAATATATATTCAGGTATGCCGATATCAATTCCTTTAAAGATTTCTTCAAGCATTCAGAGGCTTTAAAAAAAAAAAAAAAAAAGTAGTAAAGTCAAAGTAGAACAAAAGCTGTAACAGTAATAATTTTGATGTTGTTGTTTCCACTTTATACACGTATGCATCCTAAGACAATGTGAATAAATAGTGCTTCTTCCCATTAGTGCTCATTCAGGCAGTTAGCGTTTTTTTTTTTGGCATCTCCACGCCTCGATGCTATTTTAAAGGACAACAATGTGCAGGGTGTAAAGTTTATAAAAAGGCAAACTTAAAAGTACACCTTTATAAAAGCAGCTTAGGATAAAAAAGTGGCCTCCCAGGATTAACATAATGGTACAGTTACAGCTCCCAATCTAAAAAAAAAACAGAATATGTTCAAGTGCAGCTTAGGAATTACAATAAACTGATAACCTCTGAAATGTTGAAAAAAAAAAATCTAGTTTCCTTCAGGTTACATAAGAACATTTTTCAGTTGTGTTATTCGTTTATAAAAGTTAGAGTCCAGGAAATTAGACATCATTCAGACCAGTTAGACAATTCCTACTTCTATCTGGTAAAGTGAGTTCCTCCTATAAAAAACAAAAGACACTAAAACATGATCAAAGCATCATTTTTCCTGCACCATCGGTTACTAAAAATGTTGTTCGTGCTTAACAAGTTCTGAAGGAAAACGTGCACAGATGATAAAAGGAAAAAAAAAAATAGGAACTGCGGTCCTCTGAATTATGAGAACTCATTGCCGTCCACCTTTAAAAATGGTTGGCTAATCAGCAGAGTCAGTGAAGATGATGTCCTCTAGGTCATCCAAAGCAGTGATCAGTACATGGAGCTCTTTTCCATGCATGGTTTAAGATGCAGATAGACTGTTGGGGATCTGAGCGTATTTCAGGGTAAGGGTAAAATGAACGCATCTGTCTTTTGCAGTCTGAAAGGCCCAGTCATTGTAAGCAGATGTAGGGGAGTGTATACATATACCAGAGCAACTCTTCTCCAATGTGAAAAATCCCTAGTTTAGTAACATTAAATAAAACAGCATGTTGCCTTTGATGTTCTGGATTGATTGAGATGAATCTCCGAAGTCAGAGGCACCATGCAGACGAGAAATGCACGTTTCAAACGGTTCTTCAGCAAGATGTCTTGTCAAACCACTGAAAGTAAATAAAAGAGACAGCTATTGGTAACAATTCAGTATTATGAGGTCCACAGTCTGAGCTTTCAATTTTTCAACTCTTCTTTTGGGTGAGTCATGATAAGTAAACAGGAATAAACCAAAAATCAGTGTCAGACCAGTTTTAAAAGTCATAACCATTTTCCTAATTATGAAAGAGTGTCATATTGTATAATACTTGAAAGATTTGGTATGCTAGACCAACATTATCAAAGCAATGCATACTTTATTTCTAAAGTGCCTCAGCCATTTGCATTCAAGCCTATAAAAACAACTATTGCTGTAATCATAGATGCAAAGCCTAGTTTTCTTATCCTTTGCAAAAGGGCTCAAGCTCAGTCAAAGTGAATGGGGAACATGGCTCAACATTCAGTCTGAGCACCAGTCCTCAAAAAAATTTCAGTCTGGACCTCGACTAGGCCCTTTGATCATCCCTTTCATCAAATCCTTTTATCAAATCCTTTGCAGCTTCGGATATTGTCCACCTCCATCCATCTTATCACCAAATCTAGATATCTACCCTTTTCCCACTAAAGAAAAATATCTCACACAGAATAATGCAACCCCCGCCATGATTCAATAAATGTATATGTTCAGGGTGACATGTAATATTTTTTCAACAACTTTAACCATGACCTCTTTGACATCCATTTAACGCTCCTTTGTCTTTATGAAGCTTTTTGTGCTTCATAAAGAGGTTTACACTGTTTGTGCAAGACAGTTTAAATCACACATATGGACTACTCTTTACCATCACTGTCTTCTAAAAGCTGCTCTACATTCCATTTCTGGTTAAAAGATTAAGGAAGTTGAAAGCAAGTGCAAAGGATATTTTATTAGATTTCTATATATATGAAAATTATATAAACCATGATTCCTTTCAACAGACTATTCTTGCAAAATGTATCTTAGTCAGAATACCGACTCTTAGCTAAAGGAAAGCTGGTTCCAGAGAGTGGCCACAATGTCCAATGTTTGCCGAAGATAGGAATGTAATAGTTTTGACAAGGTGTAGTACAGAGGTTTTGCCTGCTACGGCCAGTTTGTTGGGCACAGTTAGAAGCTGATTTTATTGGCAGCATACAGCGGTCAGAGGGACAGTGGTTTAAAAAATAAAAAATAAAAAGGAAGGAGGATTGGACAGGAAGGAGATTTTTAAATCCTCTACTTAACAGAAGATCAAATTCTATCCAACTAAAACTGTAGACCTTCAACAATAGATATTTTTCCACACCTTCTTTGTCTCTCCATGTTCTTTATACCATGGTTATTTTCTTGACCTCAAAGACAAGGTATTGACTGCATTCACAGCAACTGCCAAAATATCCAATCTCTATTTAGCCAAGTCCGCCAGGAGTTGATCTGTTTCTCTCCAACCAGCACTTCTTACTCTGTATAATCCGGCTCATCAAGGTATCCTATTATCTGGCCGGAAAAAGAACCAGTGCCTGTGGTTTCGTAATCGCTCCAATTGAGTTTCTTTAACAGCTGATTTGGGATTAGATTGGAAGGGAGTCCGAGGTGGGATACTGGTTTAATGTTGGAGCCATAGATTTTGATTATTCAAGAGATAAATGTTGTTTTTTTCTTTATAACCTCAGTCTAACTGTCATTAAATATCCCTGTGTTCAATGAGTAGTTATTCCTCAAACACTCTTACTCAGTGGTATAAACGGTATATATTACGGTAATACATATAATAATACTTTTAATCACAATTGTGGCCCTTAGTGATTGAGCAGACTGTTAACGGCTTTTTTAACTTTCATTTACTTGTTAGTGTCTTCTCTTTCCTTCGTTTCTCTACGTCTGGATTTTATTTTATTTTTACCTCATTGCGTTGTAACTGTCAATATGTGTAAAGATGCTGCTACTCTGCAATTTCCCAGCTTGGAATAAATAGAGTATATCTATCTATTAATCTCAAAGTATTCCTTTTTAGGGTTTTATTATTTAACTGTAACAGACTCCCCCCCCAAAAAAATTTCATGTTCACCAAGTTACTCAAAAAAGAAACACACAAGGTGCAAATATAGTCTCGCTGCCATCTGATTCAAAAGTAATTACTGGGAATATGGTATTTTTAAACAGACAATTATGCAGCAACCAACAACAACAACAAAAACACACTGCAACTAAAACATGAGCACTTCAAAATAGGCTTTGTTTTCCCATCCTCCTCTCTAAATCTAATAAATAATGCCAGGAAGATCAAATCTTTGATTAAATGGCCGACCGGAGGTGGCAGTTAGATTTTGTCACTTGTTTCCCACTTAAGACTTTATACACCCTGGTATCTGGTAAAAGAATACTTGCTGTTTGGTAGGGGGTCAAATACTTGTTTTTCCTCATCAGATGGTTATCAATTTTTAGTGTTGTCACGATACTAAACTTTTCAACTCGATTCCGATACTAAGGAAAATATTCGATACCATTTTCGATACCACAAGGATAAAAACAAAGACTCCAAAATTCTACAGAAATATTTTCATTAATAAATAAAATACAATAAATAAATACAATAAAGGTTGTATGCTGTGCACAATATTAAGAAAGCTTGATAAAAAACTTCTAAAATTAAAATTAAGTGTTCCTTCCTTGGCTATGCTTTTCACACATAACAATGACACTAGCCAAACCAGTTAAGAAACAAAAATAATTCTCAGCAGCTGCACCTGTTACAAAAAAAGCCTGAAACTGAAAAGTGCTCAGAATTATTCAATCACACAGTGTTCAGAAAGTGCATTGTCCTCTATTCTGCACTTTAGATGAATGACTGCTTAGGTGCCACTGGTGGTGGCACTGTATGGATACTTTTAAAAACGAGTATTGTATCCAGATAATACGTTTCAGTATTGATACTTTTTTGAGTATCGATACTTTTGACAACCCTATCAATTTTTATAAATTCATATGATGTGAATTTCTGGAATGTTCTTTGGGATTCTGTCTCTCACTGTTAGAGTGTACATATGATTAAAATTGTAAATTGTTGCATTCTTTGTAAGTGGACAAACCTGCAAAATCAGCAAGGGGTCAAATACTTATTTACCCCACTGTTTGTTTGTTTGTGTGTGTGTGTGTGTGTGTGTGTGTGTGTGTGTGTGTGTGTGTGTGTGTGTGTGTGTGTGTGTGTGTGTGTGTGTGTGTGTGTGTGTGTGTGTGTGTGTGTGTGTGTGTATATATATATGTGTGCAAAAACATGGGATCCATCACCATAAAGAAAGAGGGATAAGTACCACTCTCAGGGGGATAGCATGCCACTCCGTGCTTTTCTGCCAGATAGAGATGTGATCGGCTCTGCCTCCGGCAGTCCTCCCTCCACCAGCAGCTGAAGAAGAAACAATAGAAGTGGTGATGTAGTGAGGCTGTAAACAGAGTCTAAGACTTAAATGCATCACGCATGTGACTTACTGCAAGAAAGAACACAACACCATGATGAGGACACAGCCGATCACACACAGGACCAGAGCTGTGGCCACGGCCTGCTTTCTGTGGTTTGTTGCTACCACAGCGAGCAGGTCTGCATGTTCACACCTCATCCCAACAAATCCTGGATGACACCTGCAAACCAGATGGAAGACCTAAATGAACATTAGAAGGTCCTGTTTATGTCCAGTTAAACATTGGCTGGGTGAAGCTGGAAAACCTCCAACAATAATAGAATAAGAGAAATCAATGAAACCCTCCAAGAAACAAACTAAGTTATTAAAAACATCTACGATAGAGGTGAATACACAAAAAGACAATGTCTTATATAATAAATTATTTTCCTGTCACTGTCATTTATTAGAAAGGATGCCCCCCCCCAAAAATAAGACAAATCTTAAACTAAAGAAATATGAATAAAAATAAAAAAAAGGTATGGAGCTATAAAACGTAAATCTAGACAGGCGAATGTGCAAGAGAGTTAACAGAAAAAAGCTGATCAACAGCTGTGTAAAACTGTGCATGAGCAAATCACATAAATGGACAGTTTATCAGCTACAGATCAGATTCTCCCAGTATTGCCTTGATAAGGTTAACTCTAGTGCGGAAACAATTAATCGAATTAATCGTGATTAATCGATTATTGAAATAATCGTCAACTGATTTAGCAATCGATTAATCATTAACTGGAGTATAGAGACTCTAAAACATGCCTTTAGCTGACAGAGCAACCCACTTAGAGTAGGAATTATATCAAAAGTGTTAAAAAAATATTATGTAAACATGTTGCATTTTAGATTAAAAAAATATGTGATAAAAATGTATGTCAATATGTTCTATCCAGAATACCTGAAGTGGAAAAATTCTAGTTTCATCTGGTTTAATTTCGTAAAAAAAAAAAAAAAACTTCTTTAAGCAACCTTTTGATATCTGAGTATAGATTAATTGAAAAAATATTTGACAGATTAATCTATTTGCAAAATAATCTTTAGTTGCAGCCCTAGTTAACTCAGTCTTTTTGGTCTACAGTTTGCCTCTTTAAGTTCAGTAGTACTAAGATAAAGAGTGGAGCATAATCACTGTAAATCAAGGGGGTATTCAAGTTGTTACTTTATTACGTTGGATTCTAAACTATTATCTTTAACCAGACCAAAATAAAGCCTGGTATGAGTAGTGGCTACATTGGAAAAAAACTGAAATCTAAATAAGTAATTTTGTCTTAAAATAAGTGCTTTTTTTTTCTTGAATTGAGGAGTTAAGTGAGACACTTAGACAATTTACATAAAAAAAAAAAAAAAATGCGTTAACTTATTTCAAGTGCGTTGTATCTACTTAACATATTTTAATAACATACTTATTCAATTGGCAAATCTTATTTACCTTATTAATTTATCTCAAATTAGAGGTAAATACACCTAATATAAGAAATTTTTACTTATTTTTAGATCGTTTTTCCAATGTAAAAAATGCCTAAAAGAGGCGGCAATAAACAATATAAAGTCATATCATCAAGTAAAAAACATCTTCACCTTAATATGAAAACAAAACATAAATTTAAGAAGAACACACCGGTATGTCCATATAAATTCCAAGAAAGATGTAAAACTAAAAATATATTGTCTGGACTTTCATTTAAAAACAGTTTAAGCCATGTTCAAATCCTCATGTAACCAGAGGACCATACTGTAAACCTGGGTCTAACGCATATACTACTTTAAATGCACTGGTGGAAAAATATTAAATCTGCAACTAGAAAACTTAAGTGCTTTTTTTATTTATTCATGTTTTTAATTGAAAATCAGCAACAATGTAGGAATTTTGTGATTTCTAGTTTTTTTTTTTGTTTACTTATTTAGCAAAGTTTGACTGAAGTTGTTTTATCTTTCATTCCTGGGATTGCATACTGAAACTACACACCCTAAAACTAACTGCAGCCTTCCAGCACCAACAGCTTTAGATCTTAAAATTTCACTAATGTCCTTGCCGGCAGATGGTTGTGCTTTGCTCCAACAGCATGTAGAACATGTAAAGCGCCAGCTTTGCTCTAGCAGCCCAGAGAGCTGTAAAGACACAACATAATCTAAAGCAATCGAAGCAGTTAGGTAAATTGGAGTGCATCCCGTTTGGAAATATTAGATTTAAAATAAAAGTTTTGGGAGTTTTAATTCTAAGAGCTATACTGTCGAATTTTAGTATAGGATTCCCAGAAAGTTATGTGGAAGGATTTAATACCAACAATCTGTCAACTTACACACATGCAGGCGTCTCCTCCAGAATCAGGAAGCGGCAAGTGCCATGAAAGCAGAAATGCTGATGGGAGTCAGGACAGTCGCTGAAATGAGAGCGAACAGCCGCAGCCACAAACTCTGGGAGGGCAACAAATAAAGTTTCCTTTGTTATTGTTTAGACAGATGGCGTCATTTGAAATGTGAAAACAGTTTGAGTAAAAATGTCTATAGATTAACTAATAAATGCGAGTATCACCATCTACCAGCATCTCCAGAAAATAGATGCTTACACAAACCAAACATTTAAAAAGTTTACTTTTTTTTCTTCATTTAAGATGGTGAAGTGAGAATTATTTAAAATTATTTCTAAGATGAACATGTAAACAAGAGAGTTATCATGGAAGCTGATCCTCATCTGGTGCTCCAGGGCAGGGAGGCATTTACAAATGGGACAGGCCACACACACATGAAAAAAAAAAAAAATGTATAAACACGACAGGCCGTAGCAATAAACTATGGACAGTAAATCAAGCAGGAAAAAAAAAACTAGACATACAGCACAGACCATGCCTCACACTATGATTGTATTTATTTTGTATTACTATTAGGGGTGGGTATTGCCAAAGAAGTCACGATTCGATTCGAATCACGATTCACAGGCCACGATGCGATTCTATCACGATGCATCACGATACTTGAATTATTGCGATGCATTGCAATATTTTCTCCTCCATGTTTTGTTTTTGAATGGGTAGGCACAGTATCCCGCGGCCGGAAATGCTTGTTACACAAGGCAGCGTGCGTCAACACATTTGCAGCGACATCTACTGGACTAGGTTGTATTACACTCGTTTTTGGCTGATGTTCGCCAACCATGCATGCAATTTTATTTGTTTTTCTTTTTAATTAATAATCGATACTTGGTCTCAAGAATCGATGCAGTAGATCACGAAAATTAGAATCACGATGCATCATCATGACGATTATTTTGCACACCCCTAATTACTATAGGTATTTTATATTTTGCTGCTTTGTATTTTATGCCCCATATTGTAGAATATTTTGTGATGCTTGTCTGAGAAAGGTGCTATATAAATAAACCATACCTACTTAAACCATACCATAAAAGACAGTTTAGACACAAAATATTATTATTTTAGGTCTAATTATGCAGGAGCAAAAGGAGCACAGCAGTCACCTATTGCCAAACTCCACCATGCCCGAAGTGAGCCGATGATATGACAAGTCACATACCTCAGAAATTGTATCAGAGATGAAAACCATCCTACCTCAGAAAAAACTTGCTATTTCAAAAGATTGTTCAGCTGAAATTTCAGCCTTTCAGCTAAAGGCAAAGTTCATCAAAACCACATAACGTAAATCTGCAAACACCATTTCTACTCAATTTTCACCAAAACAATGTTTGGCACTTAAATTCTTTCCAATTTTATGCTTTTGTTCCTAAAATCTGATGGAGGTTGAATCTCAATCTTGTTTTTTGGCTCCAACCTTCTTTCCTCCCTTAAGTTTACTTTTCATATTTAAATGTACAGTAGAACAAGGTGCTTTTGAGTTTGACTGTCTTTATCTGTTAACATTTAAAATAAATACAATTATTTCCTAGTAAAATGTTTCCCCTTTAGTTATATATACTTGTTTTTGGAAGTCATTATGTTGACTGGTTTATGTATTTATTTTCCTTATCAAGTAGCATAAGAAAGGGATTACTTGCTAGAAGGAATGATTAACTCTTCCTGTTTTGTTTTCTTTTCCATCAACACTTCAATTGATGAATCTTTGCAAAGATAATGAAAGCAGTTTAAAAGTTTAAAAATATATTTAATGTCGGGTTCCTATTTCATTTCAACATGAAGATAAAGATCAGTAATTGTTGTCTAACTGCTCAATGAAAATTTTAATTTATCCGCCTTAATATTAATTCATATTCCTCAGACCCACAGAACTGACCACAATAATCCAGCAACAGGAACTATAACATCGAAACTAGAACCACTTAAAGACAATGACGAGATTTTCCAAAGATGCCACTGACTTGAAGTAATCTAAGAAAGATTTTCTTTAATATAATTTAGGAGTTAAAGAGAATTTCTCACTAAATTTGTGTGGCAGTCAACTATGCAGTAAGGTGCAAAGTCTTGAAAACATCATGTTGCTTTATGCTGGAAACGACATTTGATTGTAACGGGTTATTTTAACAAGAAATCATCTCAAACGCACCAGCATCCAAGCATCTTCATCCATATCAGCTAAATCGATGTTGTTAATTGCGTCCAATTATTGGGTCCAGTTTTATCAATCGGATCATAAATCAAATGGAAAAAAAAAAAAAGAAATGCAGAGAAACTGGATATTATAGTTTAACTGTCCTGGGCTGGTTTGGCTGGTGCAACATGGACATGAAGCAGCTTTTAGGAACCCAAGTTTACAGCTACAGAACTTTATGGTATTCCCAGAAAATACAAACTTTCAAGCATTTTTCCTACAGTAAAAACAGTTTAGAAAGAAACATTTTCCTGGGAACAGATTTAATTACCTTTGTTGTCATGTTCTGTTTTATAATATGTTAGTATTTTCAATTAATCTGTAAGGAAATGAAAGCTGTTGTGAGAATTCAGAGCTTTACTCTTTTGTTTTTTTTATATTTTAGTTTTATCAGTTTGATGGTTTTGTTTCAGCCACACAAAAGTGAAGATCTTTGTTAGTTTTTTGTCATTTTGTAAGTATAAAATAACCTTAAACTGGTGTGCTTTGATTAAAAATAACCCGATCCACATAACATGGCACCAACAATGACAAATCTTAAAATAAAAATAAAGCTTGTTAGAGGCCTGAAACAGACTTGTAACAGAGCCTAAAGCTGACACCCACACACCACCAGTAATAAGGCGGCTAAGGTTTTACTTCCATCAAGTGCTGAAAGACATCTTTCACTGTACCTGGAAGGCAAAAGAAAAAAAAAAAAAAAACAGCCAAAGAAAGCTGTTAAAATAGGAGGTAAAAAAAAGCTCTGGCCATCAGGTGTTAGGTTTTATAAAAAGCATATCCCTACAGCAACAGCTTCTCGGAAGAAATAAAACCCTGTTCAGCAGGTTTTTGTTGTCTATTATAAAGCGGCTATCTTAATTTACACCCTGACGAACAAAACACCAGATCGAGTCAACAAACAGCCAGGCTAAGCAGAACATTTCTCACATGTAAGCGATGAGTTGTTGCTTAAGCACCAGTAACAGATGCCACAGTGAGGCTCTTAGAGTGACAACGAGGATGAACATCCAGATAGATAGTTGCATTACAAACCTCGTCACACTCTCCATTCCAACGGTAAATGGGAGTTTGGATCACAGCCTGCATGCATTGTTTCAGTCCTTCAGACTCCATGAAAGCACCCTGTTGTCCTGCAGGCATCTGCCTACCAAGCCCTCTCTTTCCATGTGATTTTGGCAGCCGAACCCAAGTAACGCTGACACAAAAAACAGCTCTTGAGGGAAAGTAGCTTGCTTTTCACACAATAGTTCAATACTGTATCACCAGCATTGGGGAAATAGCTGAATGTACAACTCATCATTGTTAATTCATTAAAACTGCAGCCTTTAGGACCACTTATCAGCATTTGCAACACAGTGTAACAGAAGCAGCAGCAGGGATCTCCCATGGGGATCTAGCATGGTTGTGAGAGTATAACTTACTTTTAACTGGATGTTTGCTGGTCGTTGCAGCAGGTTTTCTGGTTGTCAAACTTGTGCTGCTGGTCGCCGAGGAGCTGCTTGTCATATAAGTAACAGCAGCAGAGGAATTAAGAGTAGCTGTAAAATTTTTTACTGTTGTATTTCTTTGCTCCGCTTCTGATGAATCAAGAGAACCTGGGGAAAATGCAAAGACACAAAGTCAGATAAATTTCAATAGAGAGCAGAACAAAAACCAAAGAATCTGCCTTTAGGCATCATTACAAATACTCCTCTTACTTTTTACTGTAAGAAAGTTAGCTGTAGTATTGCCTTTGTCACTGATAACCATAGAGCTGTGACTGGATGTGCCTGGAGCAGAGGTAATAGAAATATTGCCTTCAATTACAGATGAACCGCTGGGCCCTGCTCCAAATGAGAAGAAGGAACCTGCAAAGACAAAAAGATAATAATTCTCTTTCAGATATGTCATCCTTACCAGATAAAATATAAACATTTCCTCCCAAAACAACATCCTCCTTGTTTGGTTTAAAAAGATTTTTTTTTTCTATTAGAGACACTTGCAATACTGTTTCAAGGATGCTCTAGCTGAGCCAGTCGTAAACACCCCCACCCCACCACTCATCCCTGCACAGTCCTCGTTTTCTACATTGATGATTCGGTGGTGCTGTTCTTCCCAGCTGGGAATTAAAAGTTGTCTCCTTTTAGATAAGTTTTCATCACTTTCCAGCTCACTTCCAGCTTCCAGATCACTTTTCCAGCTAGGCAATATTTCTAGGTTTCAAACTCTGGTCTCAAAGCCTGAATTAAAGATGATTATTCATTATTTAATTTAATCTGGTCTAAATAAGTCTAAAAGCTTTTTTATTTTTTTTAATTAAGAAGGGCCTAGAATGTTGATGGCTCCAGGTTCTACTATATATGCTTTTAAAGAAACACAAAATAAAGTACATTGCTTCAGTTTTTTTTTTTTTTTTTTTTTTTTTATGAGCATCAGTGGTACAATCTATAATTTCCATACAAGAGGCATGATACTCATATTTATATTTTAACCCCCCCATCCCGACAACCGTTTGGACACCAATCTAGCAGGAGTAGATAGTTAAAAGTAATACAAAAATAGACAATAGCTAAAAAAATAAAAAAAAATAAAAAAAATAAATAAAATTAGATAAATAAATAAATAGGGGACATATACATATATACACATGTATACATGCACACCTACATATACCCGTACTTATACATATATATATATATATATATATATATATATATAGAATAAATAATTAAAGAAAAAAGATTAAAAAAAAAATAATAAAAAAAATAAAAAAATAATAATAATAATAGTTAAATAAAATAAATAAATAAATTATCGTAGTAATAAATGAGAGTAATGAAATATATGGATAGATTAAAAAGAAAAAAAAAAAAAAAAAATTATAATAATCAGTTTTACATACATATGTACATCCAGATATGCACGCATGCAAGTAAACATAACGAACATTTATCTCAGTTCTCCAGCACCAAGACTGTGCACCTCACCGGGAATGGTACACATGGGTTGAATGCAAATCACATATACAAACTCTGAAGGACTGGCAGAGGGTATTTAAGTGGGCACAGTTTTAAGTTTACATATATGTGTCAGTAACGGACCCCAGACAGAGAAAAATTTGTCCTTAGATCCCCTTAGAGTATATTTCATTTTCTCTAATTGCATGAAGTGTGTCAGGTCACTAAACCACAAGGACACCTTGGGTGGATTTTTAGATTTCCAATGCAGTAAGATTCTTCTCCTTGCGAGCAGCGTTGTAAAAGCAATTATGTTTCTATGGCCTTCCCTTAATGTCATATATCTTCCATCTATGGCACCAAATATGGCCATAGCGACGTTGGGTTGAAGGTTAATATTCAATCCTTCTGATAGTGTTTTAAAGATGGTTGACCAGTAGGTTGCCAGGGCTGGGCATGACCAAAACATATGCGTCAAGTCAGCTGGAGTTTTTCGACACCTGTCACATCTTGCATCTATGTTAGGATATATTTTAGCTAGTCTTGATTTGGAATAGTGAATACGATGTAGGACCTTAAATTGTATAATATTAAGCTTAGCACAGAAAGTGCTGTTGTTTACTCTTAATAACGCGTTTTCCCAAGTGTCCTTTTCCAAGTCCTCCCCCAGCTCTTCCACCCAGTCTGCTCTGGTCTTTTCTAGTGTTATGTTTTTAAAAGAGAGTATACTATCATAGATTCTGGAGACCAGTCTTTTGGAATTAAACTGAGATTTTAATAGATCATCTAGACCAGAAGGTAATATGTATGGAAAACTGGGGTCGTGATGTTGAAGAAAGTGGCGGATTTGGAAATATCTAAATAAGCTAGACCGAGGGAGGCCAAATTTATGTGACACATCTTCAAAGGTTCCAAAGCTATCATTTATGTACAAGTCCTCAAAATTAAGAATGCCACGTTTCTGCCAGAAAGTAAACTCAGAGTCTACCTTAGCTGGGAGGAAAAGGTGATTATTGTGTATAGGACCCAGATGGAGAAGGTTATTAAACCCAAAGTTCTGTCTGAGCTGAGACCATATTTTGAGAGTGTTTATGACTATAGGATTGTTAGTATATTGTGAGAAGGGGAGGGGAGGGTTGGAAGTGATCAGGGCTCTAAGAGAAGTAGAGATGCAAGATACAGCTTCAAAGTGGCACCAGTCTGCATCAGGAGTGTGGAGCCAGTACATAATTTTTTGAACATTTGAGGCCCAATAGTAGTGACATAAGTTTGGAAGGGCTAAGCCACCTTGGTTTTTAGGCCTCTGTAACAGTTCTAACCGTATTCTAGGCTTCTTCCCGTTCCATATGAATGAAATCAGAGCCTTATCAATAGATTTAAAAAAAGATTTAGGAAGATAAAGTGGGATGCATTGAAATAGATAAAGAAATCTGGGAAGCACGTTCATTTTGATACAATTAACTTTTCCTGCCAGAGATAGATGAAGTAATTTCCATTTCTTTAAATCTAATTTAATTTTCTCGAATAACTGATAGAAGTTTTCTTGGTAAAGATTCTGCAGATCTCTTGTAATATTAATGCCCAGGTATTTAAAGCCGTTTTTAGACAGATGGAACGGCAGGGCACTATCCTGTATTTGAAGGGCCAAGTCATTAACAGGATAGCATTCACTTTTATTTAAGTTCAGTTTGTACCCAGAGAGGGCGCCAAACCTCTTCAGGGTGTGAATGATATGAGGAGCACATAAAGCAGGGTCAGATACATACATTAATAAATCGTCAGCATAAAGAGATACCTTGAACTCTCTACCCCTCCTAATGATCCCAGTAATGGATGGGGAAGTTTTGAGAGTAATAGACAGGGGTTCTATAGCCAAGGCAAACAACAATGGACTGATTGGACAGCCCTGACGGGTGCCCCTTGATAGATGAAAGTACTGTGAGCGTTTACCATTAGTGATTACACAGGCTTTGGGAGAGGTATACAAAAGTTTAATCCACGAGACCAAATTGGGGCCATATCCAAATTTCTTTAGACATGCAAATAAATATCCCCATTCTACCCGATCAAAAGCTTTCTCTGCATCCAGCGCGATAACTACTTCAGGTACAGCGCTGGACACAGGAGAGTGGATAACATTTAAGAGCTGACGGATATTTGTGAATGAATGTCGGCCTGAAATAAAACCAGTTTGGTCAGCAGAAATAACGTCATGTATTGTGGTTTCAAGGCGTAAGGCAAGGGCTTTGGCCAGGATCTTCACATCACAGTTTAGGAGGGAGATGGGTCTGTACAAGCTACACTCTTTGCTATCTTTACCTGGCTTTAGCAGGAGGGTAATTGATGCTTCAGTCAATGTCTGCGGGAGTGATCCATGGGACAGTGAGTCGTTAAACATATCGAGTAGAATTGTTGATAGTTTATGAGAAAACTTTTTAAAGAACTCTATGGGATATCCATCTGGGCCTGGTGCCTTGCCACTCTGCATCGATTTTATTGCAGTAATAATTTCCTTACAATTTAATGGAAGCTCGGATTCTGTCCTGTGATTTGTTGTTACAGAAGGAGCTTGGAGGTTATTAAAGAAATCTTGCTTCAGTTTTAACCCATCTACATTAGCTATCCATACATTTTATCACCCCCCACCCCCCCATCAATGTGCTTACAAGTTGTTGAAGGGGTTTGCAGTGTTGCTTTTCTGCTATTCTATTAGGTATCAATGGATGGAAGGAACAGTTGCATTTATGGGTGATGGTTAACAAATGTTCTGTAAAATGTTTAGAGTTTCCCTGCAAACTGCCTGTTGGGTTCCTCTTCTGCAATTATGTAATTTGTTCATTAATGCTCTTAAATAAATTAAACTACATCTGAAGGCATTTGGTTGTGCTGGAGTTTATTCAAGGGTTTCAGTGTAAAAAGGAACTGAACATAAATGCATGTTCCACTTAGAATGTGAAAAATGTTTTAAAACCATTTAGCCTTTCCCTTACAATTGTGTACTTCTTTGTGGGGATCTATACCAGAGGTTTGCAACCTTTATAATCCAAACAGCTGGTCGGAAATAATGAAAATATTACAGGGAGATTATAGGAAAATACAGGTATTTTTGATGCAATAACTTTGATGAAACTCAATGCAGTAAAAAGACAGGAAACAATGCAAAGCAAAATATCTGAATATTGATTCCCTATACTTGTTAGCCAAAGTTATTAAGGGCCACAGGTTGCAGACTCACCTAGTCTATGACTTACAGTCCCCCCAAAAAAATAAATAAATAGGAGTTTGTATGTTCTCCCCGAGCATGCATGGGTTCTTCCCATAGTCCACAAACATGACTATTAAGTTAATTGGCTTCTCTAGATTCTCCTTAGGTGTGAGTGTGAATGGTTGTTTGTGTCGTTTGTCTCTTTGTTGCCCTGCAATGGTGAAGATAGGCACCAGCACCCCTTGTGACACTTGGAATAAGTGTGACAGAATATATATATATATATATATATATATATATATATATATATATATATATATATATATATATATATATATATATATATATATATACATATATACATACACACACAGAGAGACTTAAAACTATGAGCTAAATGCACATTTAAATAGAACCATGAAAGCAATCATGTACAAAACCTGCATGACACTGAAAGTTTTCTATCATTGTTCCTCATTCACTTTACCTGATACCAAACAATGGTTTACAAGGTCGAGCACCACTAAAAGGATGAGACCATAGCACTATAAATACACACCAGGTCGACGACATGCAATCACAACTAAAGGCTGAAAAGCTGAAGGACAACACATTATTGTTTGTAGTCTTTAAATCACAACATAGCACAAATTAAACTTTTTTTAAAAATAAACTGTGTGGTCATTTTTTGTTATAAGGAAGGCACACTAAGATCTTGTTGTTGTTTGTTTATTAAACACTTTTCTGGATCATTTAAACTTTACATTTCAAATTAAACCCAGACCCAAAGACTTACCGCTTATTAGGAATATGGCATCCCAGAAAATCCGAGTCATTGTGCCGACAGAGGGATCCGAGGAGCGGCTTCAGAGAAATGAGCGCGTGCTGAGGAACCACATGAGGATTGAAGCAGCAGCAGCAGCAGCAGCGATGATGGGAATTTAATCCGACAATCACGGGGCTAAAGTCACCATCAGATCCAGAGAGTGAAATGAACACAAGTGTTTTTAAAACAGCTACAGTCTGGTGTATAGTATCTTCTCTCCTCTGTCAGCCTGCTGCTCAATTTAGAAAACTCCCATAATCCTGTCAGAGAAGACCAATTAGACACTAGTGGGGGAGGGGGGATGAGCGCTCCACTCTGACCTCAATATCAATCACTGTTTGATCCACATACATTTCAACGCGTGACACTCCAGTCTAACATTGCTGTCTGACTGAGTTGAATTGTCTTTTATTCTTAGTAGGAAAATTCACATATATACACAACAAATGGAAAGGTAAATCCAAGCATGCTTATACACACCAAGAGACAATTAAAACATAAAATATGTATATAAAATAACAGTTAAACACTAAGTACATCGAATTTAGGAGAAAAACAAAAACTTTATATGTACTAAAAATCTCAGTGCAACTGAGCTAAACAAAAAAATTCAAAAGGCATTTAATATGTGTGTTTGTGCAACACTGAGCAACAGTTAAGAAGAAAATGATGCAACTTATAGCAGAAAATGGATTATAGTTTTTTTCTCAATATAGATGTCTATAACCGAACATTAGTTAACTTGTGAACAAAAATGTCTAATCGTTTAACATATATAGGGATTTTAACCCCTAAAGCGTATTTTTTTTAAACTGTATTCATCTAGATCAGTTTTCTGAATATCTTTTGAAAGGCAGACCAAAAAAAAATTTGATATAACCATGTCTGAGGTCCTACAACTTAACAATTTCTACACTTATTTTATTTCAGCTGTGGTTATTTTTTTAGATTTTTGTTTTTTCCTCCAAATTTAGGCTCAACTGTATTTTTATCTACCTTCTGTTCGATCATCTGCCCATTCATTTTGCTGACAACATTATATCTATATCATCTGGACAGAATTCTTTGAAATGTGGATATCTGTGAAAATTCCTAAAATGGTAATTGACTTTGTCTTATTTCTCAAGACATGATATTATCTGACAATATATGCGTATAATATGTTAATAAAACATATAAGATGGATAAGACAAAGACTGATCAAGACAGGCTTTTCAGTACAATGAAATCATTGATAGCTAAATTAACACGTTTCTTAAAGACAGATTATTCTGTTTGTTTAAAACAGAAATAAAATAATAATAAATAGTTCTTTCTAGGTATTTTTTATCAGCATCTTTGTTTAAAAACACCTTTAGGTCAAGCTCCTGGAACTGGAAGTGATGGGCAGAGTAAATCTTAATCAGATTTTCCTAAGACCTTGTTTTTTGCTGACAAAGTAATTAATTTGCCTATGGATTCAAAGTACTGTTCTGCTTTTGTTGGACCTAACTCAGCCTTTAGTCCAAGTTGCATGAGTGGATTTTTAAAAGCAGCTAATCTTTTGTTTTTCCAAAGGCTCTCGTTCTTTAATTAATTAAATTGATTACCTTTATTTATTTATTTTTGTGCACCTCTTGAGGTCAAAACTGTTTACTTTTGGTCCCTTCAGAATAAAATCATTTAATTTAATATGACTTGATTCGAAATAAAGTTTAAAAGCAAATCCACTTCTGTCATTTTTACAAGATAAGCTGAAGAAGCTGATTTAAAAAAATCTGATAAATATAATTGACTCCCAAATATTCATTCTAAGCTTCTCTAAATGTCCACAGTGGTTTCCACCAGATCATCTAGTTTAAACAGCAGTGTTGAGTCCAGCAGGAGTGTGGTAACAGCTCCATCTTCTGGATAAATTAGAATATGGTCATAAAACATTAGTTTTAACCCCTTAACCCACGCACTGGTTTTAGCATACCGGTATGCACAAAATGTGGACTTCACCTTTTTTAAGAAGTCTGCAACTTACTTCTCACCTGCTTTCAATTTGATGTATTTTAAAATGTTGGCATTCTGTGACTGTTCCACAATTCAAAACCAAAGCAGTTCAAACATCTTATAGTGTTTTTTTTCTCTCCCACTTTCTAGATCCTGTTGGTTATACATATATATGTTTTCTCAACTATTTTCATCATTCACACAGTATAAAAAAATAAAAATGATTATGCAACCATCTGCCGAGTGGCCCAACCACGTCACACTGAATATAAATTATGCTGGTATTGGAGATTGGCTTCCAAGAAAAATTTGGTCCTCAGCCATGTAGGGAAACCCCTAGGCCAGAGCTCATATGTGCTTTCCTTTTAAGCCAAGGGCTAGTGGGCTAAGAACAGAGAAGTATGTAATCTACGGTGGGTCTATCTGGACCACAAACTTCAAGCATCTGCTTTTGGAGAACATTTTCAGAGCAAGTCTTTGGCATGTGTAATTACACGCACCATGCAGAAGTGAGTAACACAAAAGAAAAATAATCTGCAGTTAGAGCAGAGGCTGACATCACAACCCTGCTGATGAAGATATTGACCACATAGGTATAAAAGAGCAGGACTATACACAAATTGCTGAAAAGTAACAACTTGATGGTGTGGAATGACATAAGTCCTGTGTATTTTAAAGCAATACAGCAACTTATGGCTTCAAGAAATTCAGCCACAGTGATAGATGAATGCAGACTTCTTTAGGGAATAGGAAGGACACCAAGACGGATCTTAGAGGAATGCCACCAGGATTTTTTTTTTGGTTTCTAATTTAATGTTTGCTACTGACACAAAAAAGTCCCTGTCCTTCAAGTGGTGTTTAAACCAGTGCAGTGCTCTACTAGGAAGGCAGATCCAGTTTTCAAGGTGCTTCAATAAAATGGAGTGATCAACAATGTTGAAAGCTGCTGTAAGGTCCAATGATACCAGTACTGCGGTTCTTCCATAGTCTGAATTTATTCTTATTAAACACCTTGACAAAAGCAGTCTCTGTACTCTGCTGAGCATGAAAGGCATAAAAGACGCAGAAGCAGCTGGTCATGGTTATTGTCATGGTCATGACAATGGTCATGGTTGTAACAGCTTTGTCATTTATCTTACCAATGAAGGTTAAGTTTGTGAAAGGCCTGTAGTTGTGTAGTACCAGCTTGTTCTAGCTGCAATTTTCCAACTGTTGTTTGATAACTACTGTTTTTAGGGCTTGGGGAGAAACACCTGATAAAAGGGACATCTTTATTATTTGAATTAAATCAGATGATATGATCGTCAGCGCTTTCTTACGGAAAACAGCAGCAAGAAGAGGTTAGCTGGTGTACGATTTCGTCAAAGTTTTTGTAGTTTATTTGGTGAAATTGGAATGTTTTCTAAGCATAAGTTTGATTAGGAGTTTCTTTGTTTCTTGACTTGATATGGATGTACACACTACTCCTCTAAGTAAACATATTTGTTGCAAAGTGTATATGCTTGATTATACAGTGCAAAGTCTCTAATGTTATAGTGAACCTGCAGTCCAGTCTTTCACTAGATGTGTTTAGCTTTCAGCTTTTCGAAACTCAATTTTTTCACTTCAAAGTGGACCATGGAGACTTTTTCTTTGCTGACTTTGCCCAGTCAGGACAAAATGTTCTATTGAACATGTCTCACAGTGCACAACGTGGCCTTCTATATCAGGGGTGATGCTACAAAAGTAGTCCATGCATTTGCATGGACAAAATGAAGTGGAAAAAAGAGATCATATTTCTCCTATTTTAGCTTCCCTTCATTGGCTTACTGTTAAATCCAGAGTAGAATTTGAAATCTTTTGTCTTGTGTATAAAGCCCTAAACCAACCTTGATCTTATAACTGAGATCTGCTGGAGGTGTCTTCTTGTTAATGGGACTTTCTAATCTCAAGACATGCATGGGTGATTGCTGTAGAGTCACAACACAATGCAAACAAATTATCATTAGGTGGTGCAGTCCTGCAAAGTCAGAGACTCAAGCAATTATAGATCAAATTAAAAGACTTATTTAGAACATTTTTAACCAATATTACCATATGATTCTATTGAACTGTCTCTTTAAAGTGCTTTAAAGCTACATATGTTGTAAATTGGTGTTATATACATAAAGCAAGTAGACAGACAGACAGACAGACAGACAGACAGACAGACAGACAGACAGACAGACAGACAGGCAGGCAGGCAGGCAGGCAGGCAGATAGATAGATAGATAGATAGATAGATAGATAGATAGATAGATAGATAGATAGATAGATAGATAGATAGATAGATAGATAGATAGATAGATAGATAGATAGATAGATAGATAGATAGATAGATAGATAGATAGATAGATAGATAGATAGATAGATAATAGAATAGAAATATAATTTATTGTCCCCACTGTGGAGAAGAGTATGCGTTTCAGCGAATTGAAGCAAACTGAAGAATGGAGATACACATTGCAACACTAACCAAAGAATGAAAATAAGGAATATTAAAGTAAGATCCAATTTACCAAAAAGGAAAATATATAAATTATTTAAAGTAGCATTCTCAGCTTCTAAGAAAGAAACTGTGAATCATAATTTAAAGTATAAAAGCTGTGCTCTGTATATGTATTTGTGCAAAAGTGACAAACTGTATAGTAAATGGAAAACTGTCGACAGAAAAAAAAAACAGGGAAGTAAACAATGTCTTTACTTTTTGAAGCAATAATTAGAGTAGCTGCTGGAAGAAAAGATCTATAGATGCTTCTTTGTGGATTCAGCAGTCTGTCACACAGGGAGTTTTTTATTTCTTCATCAGCTTCCTGCATGGGTTGTGAGACAGTTTCAAAAAGTTAGTTGAAGGGGGACTTTGGATGGTAATATTATGTTTACTGCACAGTCATACAGCTGGCTGCTATCATCAAGTAATTAGTCCAAAACTTAATAGACACATATGGTGAGCCATTGACCGATAGAAATCTGACTTAAGAATAAGATCTAAGCTAAATGCATTGCTTATCGATGTTGGTTTTATCAGGAAATTATAAGTCAGTCTTTCATTCGGCCGTTAACTTAATAGCATCTGCCTCTTTGTGCTGGTGTTCAGTATCCCTGTTTAAATTCTTATCCTGATTTGAAACACGTCTGGCTTGAAGGAAGAAGACAGAGTTTTCTTAGATAAATCATTGTTGTATTGTTTAAAGAAAGCAGATGGAACACCACATTGTTGTTTGGCTGTTAACATGTTAACTGATTCTTTAAGAACTGCAGCCAATCAAAAGAGGCCTAACTCTGCTGTATGCAAATATATTCTGCTTGCTGGTTCTCAGGTTGGAGCATTTCGAAATCACTGTTTTCAGTGGGCTGACCTCTTGTTCTGCTGGTCCTCAAGGCGTTATTTACACACCTTTTAAAGAATGACACCATCAGGGAGGCAGGAGGTAAATAATGCATTTTTTAAAATAATTTCTTTGCTGTAAAAAGATTAAACTTGTGGGGTTTTGCTGCATACTTGACATGTACCCTTAGTTTAAATCATTCTATTTTTGTCCATGAGTCTGTAGAGTAAATTGCAAACCTAAATAAGAATCATACTAAAAATCATGGTTAAAAAGAATGGTTCTAATGATAATTTCTGAAATAACCACCACCTTTGCATCCCTGCACATCCTAATTGAAAATATTTTACTCTTTGTTCTGACAGGGCAGTCCTCTGATATTGGTGTTGATGGTTGCCTCTGCAGCCATCGGAGGAACGCTTCAGTATGGCTACAATCTGGCAATAATGAACGCTCCAACCACTGTAAGTGTTGTCTGTATGAGGGATTTTCTGCAGTAAATAAGAGAATAGTTACATTAAACAATAGGTTGTTGAAGTGCTTTAAAAGTTACAAGTTGTATCTCAATGACATGAAATGTAATGAATGGCTTTGTGAGATTTTCTTATTGCAAGTAAGGAGTTAGCAAAACCTGTGATCTAATATTTGGGTCAGACTTGTGATTTGGCATAAGTGTGAATTGGGTCTGTTATGTCAGTGATTAGTCATTCTTGTAAAGATTTTGCTGAGCAAAGAAGGTGCACTTAAAATTAAAGAGCCTAAATATTCTCTATGATGTATGCATAAATAAAACAACGCTAATAAGAAAGTCATTTGCATGTTAAAGGAATAAGAAATATTAAAGCATATACATGTTTTGTTTTGCTCACCTCAAAGTAAAACTATCTTGACGGATGTAATGAGTGCCAGACTTAACCACTGCTTTGACATTAGACATTTGATCCTTGCGTGTTCTTTTACAGTACATCCAAACTTTTATCAATGAGACGTTCCTCCAGCGCTGGGACTTTCAGCTGGAGGACTACCAGGTGACGTTGGTATGGACAATCATTGTCTCCATCTTCTCACTGGGGGGCTTTGCTGGAGCACTCATAGCGGGACCAATGACCATTCGCTTTGGGAGGTAAAGTGAATGATAAACCTGTTGCCGTAATCAGATATTGTTCATTTACCTCCAGTTTTAATCTGAGCACATGTGAATGGTGCTACTCTTTCATTTGGTAAATATATAACAAAGTTCAGTTTGCTGTGTTGTTCTGAATGAATCTGTCCTCACTGCCTTAAGCTGTTAATAAGCCTTTTTCACACCATTTCATGTTAAAACCAAAGACCCGCGGGGAATATATCTGCTTAATTGTGCAGTGAAAAAGACTAATGTACAATTGTATTGATCCTCCAAGCGACTGGTCTCAAATGCAACCTAATCGGTTAATAGATTGACTTGCGTGTAATTAAATCTCAGTATAAATCCAATTGTTGTGTGCAGACCTGAAATAGTTGACAAACACAATTATGGAAACCAAGGAACACAGCAAACAGATCAGAGAGAATATAAGCATCTTGCAGAGCTCTAAACAACAATCTTCTGAAAATAAAACATCTGTGGCAAACCTTAGCTCATAAATTGGACATTGACATCATCCATTAAAGAAGGCTGTGGTTGAAGATATGGCAGAAAGATAAGTAGCTAGAGGCTGTAAAAAGACAAAACCGACAAAATACTGAACCAAACCATACAAAGTACAACAGAATGGTTTAGATTCAAACATGGCCAGTGGTCAGAATGGCTACACCACAGTGTAAAGCTAATTACAGCTGAGAATTTTAGCAAAATATGAAATGAAGATGCATCTCTAGATCCTCAAAGCTGATGGAGTCCGAATGCAATCGTATTTTCGCTGTAACTGCAGCAAAACTCTGTTCTTAAAAGCATTGACTTAAATAGGCTGTGTACAAATATATTTTTTTCATTATACATCCCTTTGTCTTACTCTGTTATATAGAATCTGAGCAAAACAAGTGATATTGTTCTTGTTTCCATTAACAAAGGAAGAAATGTCTGCTGCTGAACAATATTTTCCTCATGAGCGGGGCACTCTTAGCCCTCACAAGTCGGGCTGCCAGGTCATTTGAGATGATCATACTCTCACGTGTGCTGATTGGAATAAATGCTGGTATGGCAATTAAAGATTTCCCAAATCACTCGTGCGTGCATTCATTCACTTAGAGTTAGAGTTTATTTACAGCGATGCACGTTTGTTTTGCAGGAATCAGCATGAATGTACAACCCATGTATTTTGGGGAAAGCGCACCAAAGCACTTGAGAGGAGCCATATCGCTTTCATCGGCTGTTTTCACAGCATTTGGTGTCGTTTTGGGGCAGGTGGTCGGTCTCAGGTGTGCTCTCAGAACATAGATTTTAAAAGTGTGTGTAAGTTTTTTCAAATGAATAAACAATTGTGCCTTGTGTTCTTTTGAAAGGGAGATTTTGGGAGGTGAGTCATGCTGGGAATATCTGCTGGCCAGTAATGCTATTCCTGGCTTCATCCAGCTTCTGACTCTGCCCTGGTTCCCAGAGAGTCCCAGATACCTGCTTATCGACAGAGGGGACAAAGAGGCTTGTATCAACGGTACGTGTTGAAATCTAATCTATAAAATTGAAGCATAATTGTCATTCATATTCCGTTACTTTCAACAGTATTTTGGAATATCTGTTGAAACTTTTCAAATCGCTTAAAATTTAAAATACAAAGCAAAAAACTGTGAAATAAAAAAAAAAATATATATATATATATTTTTTTATTTATTATATATTATTAATTATACTACTAATTATTCATATATATTATTATATATTAAGACACCCTCCATATTTTCATCTTGTTTAAGTCACAGCTGATAGTTTTTTGGGGTATGACAGGCAGCTTCTGTACTAAAGATTTTCTGTCGTATTTAGGTCTGTACTTTGACTGGGCCAATCTATTGCATTGATATGATTTTTTAAGCTGATACTAGGGCTCTCTTAATATTTCTGTAAGTAAATTAAAAATATAAACATAGGAGTAAAAACAGATTCGTACACAGTGAAGTACCTCTTATTTACAGTCTGACTACATTAGTCTAGTGAATAGAGGGTATTCTATTATTTACCTATTATTATTATTTTATTTTATTTTATTTTTTGTCAGCTTTGCGGCGTCTTCGAGGCTGTGAGGTCCAGAGCAGTGAGCTGGATGAGATTCTGGAGGAACAGGCAGATATTAAAGGCATGAGACCAAAGCGGCCGTGGGAACTTTTCGCTGATCGTTCTGTGCGCTGGCAGCTAATTTCTGTCATCATTATCAGCAGCGCCATGCAGCTCTGTGGAAACGATTCAGTAAGAACCCCTGTGCGGGGTCTGTCACTGTGACAATCCTGGAGACGTTTATCATACATGTTGGAGATATTGTATATAAAAACTTCCCTGGATGTGAGGTTTGGGCATTGGTAGAAACATTCATTAGTGTGCCTAGGAAAGCTGCAAAGTACATGTTGGGACTTTCTTTACAATTTGTTCTTCTCAGGTTTTATTAATGTAAGCTGGTGTTGAAGCACCATAATTAGCACATAATAAATATGTAAAAGACCCATATTTCTTTTTAATGTACACCTTAATTTTTTTTTACTTACAGTAACTAAAGTCTTTGAAGCAGCAACCATACACTGTATACTTTCCTTGAAAGTAAAGGTTACCTTTTGTAATTTAAAAGTAATTTTATTACCCAAAACCTAGGGTACTTTTCCAAAGTTCATCATAGGTTGCCTTCCCTGAAAATTAGAGCACAGTTCTGGATTTAGAGGGTACTGTTCAGACATTTGAAGTTAATTTCTTGATCTTTTCCAGCCACAGTTTTGAAATGTCCAATAAACAATAAACTAACAGGGCTTCTACTCGTAGTTTGATTTTTGCCCAGAAGGAAAAGTATCTATTTTCCTTAATTAATTCCTTAATGCAGGTTAAATTTCCAAAAATGTGTTTTTTTTTTTCTTCAAACATTTAAGATATTTATTTCAAGAAGTATCAGTGAGTAATTTGAATTACAGCAAACTTTCTTGACCTTCCAATAATTTTCCACAAGTAGGCAGTTTCTGCACCCTATAAGTAACCCTGAATGTACCCTGTGATTTCTGGAAAATAAACTCAAAATGACTTGAATATTGGGGCTTTATTATGTATTTCCATTTTAAATGTGTTTGCATCATGACTTTTGTGCATCTGCCCAACATTATTAAACCTAATGACATCTTGTCGACAGAAAATGTTATTACATTTTGAGTGTCAATGAAGGCTTTATATGAACATAATTACTTGGTGTACAAATGTGGTCAAAATCAGCTTATGAGTATTTCAACTCCCCTAACAACCAATTATCCCTCTTAGCATGTCCACATTTTGTGTTCTCCTTGCAGATTTACTTCTATGCATCTTATGTGTTTAAAGAGGCCGGCGTATCTGAGGATCAAATTCAGTACGCCACAATCGGCACGGGGACCTGTGAGTTTACAGCATGCATTATGTGTGTAAGTGTCCTTCATTTATGCTTGCTGTGTGCAACTTGCTGGTGAGAGGGAGTGAAGCTGTCCACTGTGAATTTTTATATTATTACTAATATTGAATAACATCCACCATGAACAGAGTGATTAAATGTAAAGTTAAAGCTAAGCAGTAACATATGTTGCTCAGTAGAGAATTTTTCCTTTTTTAACCATGGAAATATTTGAGTTCAATTTCATAGTTTTTTCCTTAATCATGAATTAATTACATTTTTAATCATGCTGCATTTTGTAGCTGCTTTCAAGCAGCAGACGAAGCATGAAAGGGTAAATCCTAGAAAAACTCTCTGTAGGCCAAAAGAGATAGAGAATGTCAGCTGAGATGTTAAAGACATGAAAAAACTTACAGGTTTTACAGAAACTGTAAACAATATCTCAACATGTTTGTTGGATTGTTAAATACAAACACTTGAATACACACTTTAATTATTTTTTTATTGAGAAAAAATATTATTCTTAGGTGATTCATCTCAGCTATCTACAAAAACAAAAAAAAGTTTCTAAAATTCCAATTTTTATTCCCAGAATCTGTTGGTTGAGCGCAAAGGTCGGAGGTTCATGTTGATGGGAGGTTTCCTCCTTATGACCATCTGGACTATCATCTTCACAATCGCTCTGTCATTTGAGGTAATAAACATTACGAGCGACAAATCTTTGTGGATTTTACTTTTTATTATTATAATAATGAATCATTAAAACTAAAAAAGTTTCTCTGATATTGTGTTGTTTAATGTAAGCAGCATTGATTATTAGAAGCTTTTGGTTTTGAGGATTTATTCAGCCTTTTTTTAAGATAATGAAATCCTTCTTCATCTTCTCATTTGCAAATACCATCAGAGTTATGTATCGTGGGTGTCGCACCTGAGCGTGGCCTGCATCTTCACCTACATAATCAGTTTTGGGATGGGACCAGGTGAAATGAGAAATTTGCTGTCATCAAAGATAGAAAAAATGATAAATTGGTGGTTTTATAAAACCCTTTTGAAGCTCATCCTCAAAAATCCACTTATGTGTTCCTTCCCCAATTCTTAAAGATCTGTGATGCTGCAAATTAGATCAAATAATTCTGTTCACTGTAATAGCTCTAATTACTCATCTACTTTGGATATTTTTTTTTCATGTTGAACCGTTTCTCCTCCATAATGTAATCAGTTAATAAAATCAGTTACGGTAATAAAATGATCAATAATATTTGTAATATGAAAATGATCCAGTTGACTGCAATTAAAATGAGCTGGAGATCTGTGAACTTTATGATCTCTTAAAAAGAAAAAAAAATCTGAAACACTCTTTTCAAATGCCCATCTCACCTTTTTTTACTTTTCTGATTTTAATCTTGAAAAGTCGACTAGTTATAAAAAGGTTTGATATACTTACTGACCAATTTTCTACTTTCTCACACAGCTGGGGTAACCGGCGTTCTTCCCACTGAGATCTTCAATCAAACGGCTCGGCCAGCTGCCTACATGATTGCTGGCTCCATGATGTGGCTCAATCTGTTCTTCGTTGGAATGATCTTTCCATTTCTGGTGGTCAGTCAGCAGATATAACTCTTAATTTAACACCCCACTGCACTTGTTGATGTATGTATGATGTATGATTGATGCACTGACAAGAAGTCACTGTCATATAATGCAAAGCAGACTGAATTGTTTCCACTTACATATTACCCTTAGCTGAACAGCTGCTCACTCTGGAGCTGGAGTTTCTTATTACATTTGAAAATGATGTTATTATTTCCTTTAGCATTTTTTAAAAAGATTTTCAAACCCTCTTTAGTCCTCATCCTGTCCTCTTTACTAATTTTCATGGACACATATCTTAAGCTATGAGAATGAGTTACAGGGAATGGTATGAGGGAAAAGCAGCTGAACAATCTCAAGAATACCAATGTAAAGCAGACTGATCAAGGCCATTTTAAAAAATGAGAAGAAAGTCTGGCTTCTTTGACATAAAGAATTTAGAAAATGGAGCATGGCTTTAAAGTTCTTCATATTTCTCTAGATAATGAGGAAACGTTGATGAGTAAAGTCAAATCCAGAACAGAACCGAACAAATGTTGGAGGATAAGGTTTGCATATAGAAAGAAACTGATGTGCTTTACAGTTTGTTTGTTTTTTAATTCATGCTAACATGCAAACCTTGTCTATAGTTTATAAATGACATGTCCATTACCTATTTGAGAACAATGTTTTTTTCTCAGCCTCAAATGAACATAAAGCAGCCATGTTTGGAACTAAGTCTTTATTTGTCATTGTTTCTCAAGGGTAAAACCGCATTTTAAGCAGCTCCAAAAAATGTAAAACAAAACAGTGTAGGTAAATAGTGCAATGAATGAAAAATAAATATAAAGTAAAGAAATATACAAAAGTTATAACAGGACTGTGCAATTTACAGAATAAATATATAGCTATACAAAATATATATATATAAAAGACGCAGCATTTCTCTGTGATTTTTCACTTATCTGTAACCATATTATCTGTATAAATGTAACCCCTGGCTGCACAGAAAACAAAAAAATTATGTCCTATTTTCTGCAGTCTGAACAACAGCAATAATTTTATGTGTTCTTTATTATTCTTTCTATGTTTGCAGAGTGGACTGAGTGAGTACTGCTTTGTGCCCTTTGGAGTCATGTGCTTGTTGTCTGCTCTGTACATTGGCCTGTTTCTACCGGAGACCAAAGGGAAGTCTCTGTCCGACATTACCAGCGAATTTCACAAGATGAACTTCAAAGGCCAAAATGACAAAACTTTGGAATTACAAACTCAGTATAAACTGGGCGAGGTGTGTCTTTCCACTGCCTTATAGTACTAGCCATCACTGCCTCACCATCAAGACTCCAGGAAGTAATCCCAGACACCGATGTTGTGAGACTTTACCAGAAGATTATGAATATTTTAAATAACTAGAACTGTAAGTTATATTTAATTAATAGTTGAGTTATTTGTATTGCCTAGTAGACTTCTTTCCACTTATTGACATATTGACTTAGAAACGCTGGTCTGACGGGGTATGCTGATCTGACAGAACACAGAAAACTCAGTCTCTGGATGTTTTTCAACGACTGTTAACATAACTGTTAACTTGCTGTGAAAAAAAATATAACATTTTCTTTAACATTTCACTTTTTAAAGCATTTCATCATCAAATGTCAAACCAGTTCATTTTATTTTGCCGTTTTTCTGTTTTTGATTATGGAAAGAAAATAGGATTCTACAAGCTTTGCAGGACTTTGCAGAACTTAAATAATGTATTTTCCTATCTTAGATGAAGTTTTTCTCAATTATTGTGTACATTTGATCCATATCTACTTATTATGTAACTCTTAATGTTCTGAACCATGGATAGTCCCATTAAACAGGTGTCTGTATATGTTAGAAACATGATACAACAAGAGAGAACATTGTCAAACGAAAACAGTATCTGAAAACATTTACTTATATAAATTTAGGTGAGAACATGAAGTTCAGCTCAACTCTAGTTGGATAGGCTGGATTCCCTGAATGTTTCCTTCTTGTTCTCCTTCATCTCCTGTTTTTAGTCTTCTTGGGACGGTTTTTACAAAGGCTCTTTTTATAGGAGGAGTTTGCCAGAACAGAAAAAAAAGCCAAAGGCCCAACTTTTAAACTTTTTAATCAGTGAAGCAAAGATGGCCATTTACTTGTCACGCAGAGACGGACCGGAGGAGGGAGCTCACCTTGATGCTGTGGCTCTGTGGATGTGCAACATTAAAGCCAGAATAAGGCTGGAGTTTCACTTACATAGAGTCACACAGAACATGGAGGATTTTTATTCAGTTGTGGGGTTCTAACTAATTTTTATGTACTGTGTCAGATGAAGGACAACTACAATTTAACAAGCTCCTCATTTAATAATTTTTAGCTGACACTTGTTTTTACCTTAATCGTGATTTTTAACTGACACTTGTTTTACATCAATAATTGTTTATATATATATTAAGTTGTGCAAATAAAGTGTTGCTAAAATTCAAAAAGTCTCCTGCTTTTGCATTGTCTTTTTCCCACTCTTTGATCCTGAAATCTTCTCATCTTCACCACTTATGCTAACACCATTTTCATCATCTTCACTCTGTTTTCAGCTGTTACACTTTTATCTGCTTCCTTCACCAATGAACTTCCTGGTCTCTCTAGCATTTTTCCCTCCTTAAATCTCACAGTCTTTTCTTACTTCCCATCCCTCTGGGATGCCAAAGAAACGATTAAGAACTAAATAAGTTTCGAAGTCTAGGCAAAAAAAGGTGAGTGAAATGTTTTGGCAGGCAATCTAAAGACCCTTTAGTCAGTAAACAATGAAAGGTAATCTGCAAATAAAACTATTCCATAGTGATAAAAAAAAGACCATTTACTGAAAACACTTGATAGCAAAATGTCACCGACCAGGATGATTTTCTATGAGTAAAAAATATACAAAATATTAAAGCATTTCCTACTATTTAGTTTTTCTAATACATTTAATTTACCTGAAATATGTCAGTGTGAAAACAAAGCTAAACTCAAACAAACTGTAAAAAACAAAACTTTCACAGCTTTCAGAGCAAACTTCTGACCATGACTACATTTATAGCCTAATAACTACAGGACAAATGTCTGGAGATTTTCAGCTGCAATTTATTTGATTCTCATCTCTAAACCAAGAATCTGAGACGAGACTCAGGAACAGAGTACAAAAAAACAAATATCTATAGAAAAGTAAGCTCATAACGAAATAAGTCCAAAGACGTCATAACAAAACACAAAGTTCAAGTGTCCTGAAGAGCAATCCCGTCGAGTACAATGATAAAATACCAAGGGAACATATTGTACATCTTGCGCTTTTTATACAAAACTGTCAATGCAAGTGACTCTGTACAATTTATACCCTTTGGAGAAGAAAAAGGACTGTTTTATTTGTTTTTTTTTGTTTGTTTTTTTATTAAACCACTGCTGAGCACAATCAGTATTTGGAAGGCACTTTGCAACAGACAAAAAGCAGAAACCAAAACATTTAAGCAAAAATATTTGTCATCATAATTCAATTTTGGGAAAGAATAAAAAGTTTGTTTTCTTTCTAATAAAGTCTAAACAAATGTTTATTACATCTTTACAGCATATCCCAAGTGTCTTTAAACAGAAATACCAGTGCAGAGTGGGTATATAAAAAAAAAAAAAAAAGCTTGGTCAAAGAGTCGAGCAGCTGGCAGTGCGAGCGCTACCACGGCAACGTGATAGTTCAGTGTAACCAATATATACGACTGCTGCCGCCAACCAGTGATCGGCATTCAGTCCCCAGCTCTGCTCACATGCCTCGATGTGCACTTTACACGTCACACGTCTTTACACGTTTAACTTAACATTCCTCCCAACAACAACTGAAACTAAACCTTAATATGTACAAAACTCACTACTTACAAACACGGTTCAAACAGGTTGATTCATATATATTTATATATATATATATATATATATATCTATTTATATATATTCATTGTGTGTGTGCGTGTGTGTGCATGGAAGGTATGTACACTTGTTACAATCACAATATAACCATAAATAATATAGGAATGTACTAAATTACTCACAAATAATTAGCAGTATACACTCAGAGCCATCACCCTCTCCACACACACACACCATCAGCCCTTCACTGTTAGACTGAGCCTGATTTGCATCGCGATACACATTTTTAACAGAAACAAGAAATAAAAGAACCTGCTAGGATAAATCTGATGTGTGAAGTGTAGCAGGTGCTTTGCAACCGTACAGATAAAATAGAGCGCTGAGACTCATTGTACTTCAGTTTCAAATATTTACAGGAGAAGGTAAGGGAGGATCAGATGAAAGGAGCTTTTCAATTAGAGCCACGTAGCATAAAACAGAAACATTTAGTGGCTTTTATTCCTGCTGAGCTTTTGATTGTAAAGCAAACCAAATGGTGGGCTCAAAATAAAATGTTTGGACATGATCTCAGCCGTTAACTTACAATAGGTACGACATGATCCGAACAAGGACTCCTAAAATTTTTTTTTTTTTTTTTTGCATAATTCCGCTTTTGGGCTAATCTGAGAACACCAATTAAGGATGGTTAAATATCTGCAAAGTAGAATTTAGCTTACAGAAATAAAGAAACTGAAGTGAAAAAAAAATAAATAAAAAATCCCACTAGATTATTTGTCAATAAACAGCTTATGTTTGTCTTTGCTACACAACTGTTAAGACTGCACATTGTAACGTCGAACCAAAGCAAGCAGCCTTTAATGCAATGAGAGCAGCAGAAATGGCTCCAAGCAAAGGATGAGGAGGAAGAGAAGTCCAGGTGATGAAGGTTTAAACCAGCTGTGAATCCCCCCCTCTGCAAAGCATCCTGCACAACACACATTTTCACATCTCCGTTAACCATAAATTAGTAAAACAAAACAAAAAAGAACAAGATTTTCTTTGACAGAAAATTAAAGCCACACAAAAGTCAGGGTCTGAATAAATAATTAAAATATAATCTTTTAAAATATATCCTGAAAATATACCTGATCTTGATTCCCCGTTTCATGCATTCTAGAAGCTCATAAATAAATGATCCCCTCCTTTCTGTCTTCTTATCCCGTTTGGGTTGCGTCTCTGTGAACCTAAGACCTCCTATGAAAAGCAATCAGGGACTGATTTGTGGGGATGTAGGAGAAAGGGTTGAAATAAACATCAGATAATTGTCTTTTTATCGAACTCTAGCCATATCAGTCCTGATTTAAATTAAATGCACTACAAGAAATTCCGACCAATCGCTTTCCTTCCTATTTTTTTTCCTTTTAAAACTAATAATTGACCAAATAATACCAAACCTACAGTAAACTGAGGCACTTTGAAAAGTGCTTAACTATCTGAGGGTTTTTAATATCAAAGTGCCTGACTGATACAGAGAGATCTGATTTTTTTTTTAAACATAAAAACATCCTAAACCGTTACTCACACCCCAGTACTGATGAGTGAAGAGACTTACAATAAATTCATTTGTATCACAGCAGCATAATCTGTTTTGGAAAAGATTAAGCCCTTTAAATGAGTACATTTATTCAGTGGTGATTTAAAAAATCTGTTCTAAAACATCCCTCATGATAGTTTTACTGGGCTGATGTATAATCAGTGCAACTGAAGCATTTCTCTTATAATTTATGTAATATAAATATACTTTAAGTTGTACAGTAGATTTGATGTTTTACTGAGGTATGAATAAGAGGCAGAGGCCTAATTCTATTAGCAGCTTTTTAAAACTGGAATTAAATACGTAGATGCAGGTGTACTGTAACTGCCAACAAAATTAGATATGTAATCAAGAATTTCCTACATTTACCATCAGAGTAAACTCAATTTTTTACAATAATCCCAACTGTGACTTAAATTGCTGGAGTGGGAATGTTTAAGTGTGCAGTTTTGTCAAACTCTGAAAGTTATTTTAGCCTGAACTTAGTGCTTTGGTCAAATACCTTATTTTATTTTAACTAGAAGCTTTAAGTACCAAACACTAGGTAAAGTCGGGTATAAAACAAAGGATGAGAATTTGGAAAAGTAAATAATTCCCAGTTATGTATGGTGGAAGGTCTGTGATACTGTGGGTCTGTTTCTCTTCTAAAGGGGCCTAAAGACTCTGACATGAAAATTCTGAAATACCATTATCAAAAATGATAACAGAAACGGTGCATTAGACACATAACTAGCCTAAACCCTATAGGTAACCCTGTGGGTTGAACTGAGGAGAACATTAGCTGTGGCTCCACAGCTGCTGTAATGAAAGAAATAACTACTATAACGTATCCAAACCAGAGCATTATTCCTCACAAAGTTGAAGTTGGAAGAAGCTACTACTCCTGAATTAATAGGATAGAAAAAAAGAAAAAAATTGCGACACACTTTTAGATAAGGACAGAAACATTAGGAGGCTATACTCTACGCTGGAATTGATTTTAGTTGGGTTTTATCCAGAGAGATCTGAACCATGACTTGAAGGGTTTAACTGTAATAGTCTGATACAGAGACGCTGTAATCGAGGTCGGGATTTAAAAAATAGCCGTTTTTATTTTACCATTTTATTTTCATTGTTACGATGGTTCAGCTTTTAATCTATCCAGGGTGCTAGAAGGAGGACTATACTTGGAGTGCTTTATGGGGAACATAATCAAATCAGCAATGGGAAATTTGTACAAATACTCCCTAGAAAAAAGGTTGAATGTAATGAACAGCAACACAAGGAATTTTAATTTACTTCTCAAAATTAAGTTTTAGTTTGATTTTATTTCCTTTTTTTTCCCTGGTGCTACTGTAATAAAGATGAATTTATTTTAAGGTTAGCTTTCCATCTTTACCAGGGGTGTTGGTGAACAAGTAACACTGATCCCTCAGGCTCTCAGCCTGTTTGCTATGTTTTATCTTCACCATGTAGCTAATTAAAAAAGAACTGAAATTCTATTAAATTCCTTCCAAAACAAAAAAACAAAACTCTGAATTGCGATAAATCTAGATGTAAGCCCTGCTTTTGCTCTGAGGTAAAGATATCTGTGATGGCTGGGATGACTGAAGATCCATTGTTAAGCTCGCTGGAGCAGTTAAAGTGAGGAAGTTAACAACTATTAACAATAAAGTAAATAAGTCATCTCACAAGAAGAACTTTGTGCAGCTGAGAAAGCTCAGAAAAAAAGAAATGTAACATAACTTTCACAGACCAACAGTGAAAAGCAAAACCTTTTTTTTTGGTCTTTTTTTTTTTTAACACAAGCTTTTAAACAGCAAACACATCTCTGTCCGAAAACGTAGAAAAGTAGGACTTCAGTGTCAGTTTCTGACAGAAAACTGTTGGTTGAACATAAAGCAAAGAGACAAACAGAGAGAGTAGTCTTGAGGCAAAATGGTTCCCAAACACAGTTTTTTTCTGTGGGCAACCTGGCTTCGTCCTAAACGTGAAGAGGCCAAACGACTGCTTGCAAAGGCCTCTGGGAAGGTGTTACTTCCCTCCAAAGTCGATTCCACTCTGACCTGCTTCTGCGTCCACGAGAGAAGAGGCGAAAGCCGACTGGACGATCTGGAAGCCGAATGACTCGAGGAGGGACATGTTTTGTTGAGGAGAGAAGGGAGAAGTCAGAGAGGGTGCCATCTCACTTAAACTAGGCCCTAAGACCCCGAGGGTCCTCTGGGCTTTGTGAACTCGGTGCTGGTGCTTGTTGAGGTAGGACTTGGTACGGAATGCCTGGCTGCAGATTCCACAGATAAACTTCTTTTCAGGGTCGGCGTTGGCTTTAGAAGCATCTGGAGAGCCAAGGACCCCAGCAGGGGCCCCGTTGCAGGCTAAGGAAGGTCCTTCAAGCTCTGGTCCATCAGATTTAGAGGGAGACTTAAGCTCTTCGACGTTGGACAATTCCCTTAACGAAGTATCAGACTCCTCCGACTCCAGGTGGGCACACTTAGTCACGTTTTCTTGTCCGTCTGAGTTGAATCGTCACAGATGGCAGAAAGAGGAAGATTAAAGGGAAGAGATGAAGAGTGACATTGATTAGAAGACAAGTAAAAACCACCAAACTGAATGTGTTAAAATGAAAACTGACAGAACAGCCAATCTTAAGCAGCAGTTATGTCAGAGTGGCCCAAACTCTACATGAAACAGCAGCTCAGCCCAGTTACCCTACAACTGAACAGGATGCATGCTGTTCCATCCAACCAGTTAGTCATGCTAGCTCCATGCACCCCCAATCCTTCTGCAGGACCACATTTAAGGTTAACTTGCTGAAAATTGTTCTGATCTACTAAACCAATTAATTTGTAGAAGTCCTTTGCTGGTTTTAAACCCTTTGATATGAACTTTTCTTCTTGTGAAAGTTTTTTTTTTGTAACAGCAGCAATCCCTCCTTCTATAGTTCAGGAGGTGATGGTAGAGATAAAAAAAGTAAATCCTCCTACTTCATTTATGTCAAGAACTGATGATTTTGCAATTAAAATGTATACAATTGACTATCAGCATGTCTTTTCCAAGTTCTATTAAAGGAGTACATGATAGTGGGATTTTATGTGACAAAGCAGCACAAAGTATCGTATAATAAATAGGAAGATGGTAGAGTATGGAACGAATCATGTAGGGGGCACAGCAAACATATGGAAGGTTTCTAGGCATTGCAAAAAAAAACAAAAAAACTTGAAACTGTAAAAAGAGTTTATAAAACAGACTGAAACCAACTGAATTTTAAGAGAGATGGTTTACATTTATGTATGCATTAATAATGCATTACTACAAGGTTTAGTTTGTGGTTGCTATTATAGCTTTTTTTCCCCCATACTACACTAGCAGATGGCAGGGCCAGCAGTCAAGTCATCTGGTTGCTACAGCGTTGTGTTCTTATCTGGGATTTTTCTTCCTATTATACTAGAACTATAAATGAAAAAACGAATAAAAACCAAATTAGAACTAAAAATTTTCAAAAAATAAAACCTAAACTATCTAGTAAATTCTAAACACTAATTTAAAACAGAATTTAAAATCAAAATGAAAATTTCATAAAGATTTAAAACTTGTTAATCATCAGTACATTACACCTTCAGCATTATTTAAATGAAAAAAGAAGCACGTATATGGCGCTGTCCAGCTCACGGAGCCCAACTTGTAGTTCTAATTTCTTTGTATGCAGCAGAATTGGTGCCAGTGAACCCAGGGCGAGCGTATGGAGCAGCACACTCCAGGACGATCATGCATCACTGTGCATAGATGAAGAACTACCAATGAACAAGCCAAGCAGAAACAGAAACTGAACTCTGCAGCCATAGCCATGCCAGACAGCAACACACAAACAGGCAAAGGTGCTACCTGTCTCAATGATTTAAATCCTTAAGAGAACACAAATTTTATTACATTATCTAAATTAGGGCTGAGCAAGAGGTAAAAAGCCCCTTCAAGAAGACAAAGCCTTTCAGGAACACACTAAATCAAGTGGTTTTATAGGTGGATGCAGCATACAGTAGTATAATTTCTTCCTTCCAGATAAATGGACCATGAGTTCTCAGCATGCTGGTATCTGCAACCCTTTTCCAGCTTTGCAGTGCACAACATTAACTCTGCAAACATGGACCATTACACTGGGATTTTATGTGCATAAAATAAATAAATAAAAACTGCTCAAGACAAAGAGAAAATGTTCTTACAGTTCTTTGCCATTAAAGCGAGACAAAAAGCATGAAAGCAGCCACTGATGTGTAATCTGGCTTAAAACATATGAAGACCTGCCAGCTTGTGTCTCTGTAGCAAATGATAACCAGAAACATAAAAAGAAGTTTCGGAGGGAGGAGGCGAGCGGGCGACTGCTTGCCTTCCACTGAGCACTGGCGTCCCATTTGGTCAGGGGTGCCGTTGTGCATCTGCAGTTCCCCCCTTGGGTCAGGGAAGGCGTGCAATGGGGCAGAAGTTGGCAGTGAGGAGCCATGGTGTGTCTTTATATGCACCTTAAGGTAGGACGCAGTGGAGAAACCTGGGGCCGAAAACAAAAACATAAAGAACAAGGCAGTTGCTTGATACAGTCAAAGCCTTGGATACAAGAGAGAGTCCTGAAGAAGAACAGGCTAATAACTCTGAGCATCAAAAATGCTTTGATTTAACTTCAGCCTGTAAAAACATCAACTGAAACCACCATTAGATAAGTAATCCAACACCATGTATGAGACACTGGAAGTCTTGGTCTGTATCTTTGATGGGGTTTTATAACCTGACTGACAAACAGTACCCAGCAAAACTCTTTACATTTCATCACATTACAACCACAAACTTTAACATATCTCAGAAAAGATTTTATGCAACAGACCAGGCATTATATTCTGTGCACATTTTTTTTTTAAACCACAAAAGAAAAAAGAAAAATTGTATATTGGAAATCCGCAAATAATCATTGAGAAGGCTGCAAACGGCTCCCCGGCTACACTTTAGAAACCGTGATCTAAAGCAGTGTTTTTCAATCCTGGTCCTCAAGGCAGCCTGCTCCGCATGTTTTGGATGTTTCTGAGGTTCAGCAAACCTGATTCAGATGATTGCAGTTCAGCAAAGCCTGATAATCTGCTATCAATTGATAACAGGTGTGTGAAAGCTGGGAAACATCTAAAACATGCAGGCCAGTGTGCCTTGAGGACCAGAATTGAAAAACACTGATCTAAAGCATTCAGTCATAGGTCTTATACATTTACCGTCGTCCTGCTGGAAGATAACCCTCCAGTTTTCATGATCCACCCTCAAATAAATCACTCAGCATAATACTACCACCTCCATGTTTGAGCCCAATATGTGGTGCTCAATGTGACATTCTGCTTGGCTTTCTGCTACACATAGCGTCAAATATTTGCTGTGCACAAGGCTCCATATATACATTAAAACAAGTGGCATAGTTACATTTTTTTCATCTAAATTAATCTCACTGTAATCTTGGAATTAATCTAGATTGATATTGCTCATTTGAATTCTTCATAATATGTGTAATACCTCCAGAATTAAAAAAAAAGGGTTTACTTTTTTTAAGCCTGCAAAATACAACAAAATTTCTTCTTCTTGCTTAAGATTTTGACAGTAATAAATACTTTTTTGCTCATTTGTTAATGTGTTTTTCCTGCAAAAAAAAATAAAAAAGTGTCCCACTTTAATAATATAGTGTCTCCAAAAATCTGACACAAAAGTCGCCTCGCTCAACTTCTCATCTTTCACGCCTTTTTCCGCGGCGTGCTGGTCATGTATTCTCATGATAGTTTGCCTCGAAGGTAGTTTGTAAGATGGGTCACCTTTGGCCGCCTGAAGAACGAGCTCGCTGGCAGCTTGTTGCTATCCACTGAGCGAGGAGATTGGTTGGCTTGGCTGATAGAGCTTTGCTTATAGCTGCATCCATGTCAGCACCTCACATTCGATGTGGTAATGTCACAGTCCGCCTACACAGGTTGGAAGACTGATTCGTTTTCTCCCCCATATATACATCTATGCCAGATATCTGCGCTAAGATATCAAGATGAAAGTCTTTTTTTTTTTATTAGATATTTTAAAAAAAAACAGGGAGGTGAAGACACATGCAGATAAAGCATATCAGATTTTTTATTTCTCAAAGAATTGAGTAAAGCCAAATATAATGTATAAAATCCAAAAAAAATACATTAATGTTTGTGGCAGTAAGTAGAACAAATGTGGTAGCCTTCAATCCGTAGGTCAAACTATGCTCCATGTAAACAACTTAATTGTATCTCACTAATAGCGAAAATATTTCATAGTAAAACCCATGATTAAAGTAGAAAGAGTAGTCTCCTTGATTATTGGCCATAAGGAGTGGAAAACTTCAAAAATAAGGGATAAAGGGAGTTAAAAGATTTTATGCGATCATGTTAAACGATTCCACAAAAATTTATTTTAAGGAGGTAGTCTGCCATCTCCCTGCATAGGAGACTAAGGTGTTCAAAACTGCCAATTAACAGAAGTGAGAAAATAAAGTCCAGCAGTAATCAGATGTGCAACTTTTACTGAAGACCAGGAGGGCAAAGATTCCAGTTCACCTTGTTCTCCAACACAAACACAAGTGATCTGACAAGGTGTATTTGAGATTTCTGCTTAAACGTAGCTCAAATAACCTGCAAACAAAACACAGACCCTGTCTGCAACACCTTTAAATGATTTGAATATTACCTTCCCAGATTTGGTTCAACAAGTCAAACAGTTCAGTCTTGATTTCCATCAGCAAAAACAGATCAGGACTAAATCCGATTTGCAAATGTTTTATGTGTCGGACCCATTTCTGGTAGAAGTTACCTTTATTGCAAATGCCACAGTAGTTGTGAGTTCCTTCGCTGTGCTTCTTCAGGTGGTCCGTCATGTAGGCGGCTCGCAGAAACTTGCCGCAGACTTTGCAGGGAATTTTGTCCTCGTGGCAGGCGAGGTGTGACCGAAGGCGATCTCTCGTCGCGAAGGATGCGTTACATATCTGAAAAAAATCACAGTGATTGTGAAAACACACACATGTCTCTGCTAAAGCTCAAAAGGTTTCCCATTAGTACTGGGTCCTGAAAGGTTTTTTTACCTGGCACTTGTGAGGTCTCTCTGTGGTGTGCACTTGTTTAATGTGTCCGTTCAGGTGGTCCGGTCTGGAAGAAAAGCATAAAAAAAAAACAACAATGCAAGATGACTGCATGGATTTATAATGCTGAGAAGAGCTGTAATATTATTGAAAAAACCTTCATAATAAGCAGTAAACATTGCATAGACAGAGCATAGAGCTCTGTTTAATATGTGAATCTCAATCAAGTTTTTTTTCCAAACAAAACACTGCACTATAATTACACTGATCATTAGCAAAGCATTAAACTGTAGGCTGACAAAGCTTAAATAAGGAACAGCAGGTATTAAGTTACAAAATCACAGGAATAAAATTCCTTAATCATTTCTCTTGCCAATAGCAAAAATAAAAAATTTTGTTCTCCACATCGTAAAGAAAAGCTGATGTTATGATGCCCTGACAACTCACTATAAGTTTGCTGACCTTGGTCACTAAAATCTTTATGTCCTGTCACTATAAAGTACAGGAAAAGTCTATGCAGCTAGTGCCAATATAGGAGATAACCTGATTTATTAAACATAATGAAGCAATGTTGAAACTGCAATTATCATCCTACATATTATCAAACAAATGTTTTACTGTCAAAGGTAGATCTGGTTTATTTAAACCGGTTTGTTTTTAACCTTCACACCAGCAGGTTGAGGATGTGGATTAGAGGCACAGTCTGAGAAAATGCTGAGCCTTAGCCGTCTGCTGTTACCCCGATTGAAACGACAGATGAGCTTAAACTTCTGAGTAAGATTAACTGTTCATCAAATGTGTGGGTGAAAGGAAGAGGTTCACATGGCCAAAGGTCCTTAGCGTTTCAGGTGTGGCTCTGCTCCAAAACGGCCAGCCTAAACGATTTCATTACATCCTAAGCATGCCACCAATGCTGCAGAAGCCTGTTATTCAATCCACCAGTCTGCAGCAAGGTAACACCTAAAATATGCAGCAAGGTTTTGAAAACTATGACTGAGAAATGCTAAAAATAATGACAGCAGAAACAGATTTTTTTTTTTTTAATGCAGGTTATCTTTAATTTGGATTCAACTGGACTTGATCCTTAATGAAAAGAGTCCTGAAGAAAACATTGTAGTTAAAAATTGGACCCTGCCTATGATTTTTAATTTAAAAAAATGGACAATAGGACTCTCAAAACTCCATAATCGCAAGCAGTCCTTGTCTCTTTTTCATTGTCATTACTCACCTACTTGTACCAATATACATTCTACATAAAAGCGATATTTACGAGCACTAAGATCTACATAAATTGATTTTTTGATAAGTTTTTATTAAAATTGTTATTTAAGAGACAAAAACACATCATGATCTCTTGAACCCCATAAAGCACAATAAATATAGTTCTGAAAAGAGCATGAATTCAGTATTTATCATCTTTGATGTTAGCATATTGATGTGTATAAATTACCACAAAAAAATAAAATGTTTTGAATATCCCACTTGAGAGTATTACTGCTGCCACCATCTGTATTAGAGGGGGAAAATGGTAGGGGCAGCCAATGATTGATTAAGGGGGACCATGGCCACCCCTGGCCCCCCAATCTGGCTCCGCCCGTGCTTGACAGATACGTTCTGAAGTCAAGTTTCAATATAAATTAACTTTACGATGCTGCATTATGACTTATTGTAATTGAAAGCAGAAACTGTGTCGTTAAAAACAAAACAAAAACAAACAAAGACCCGGGGATCCAACTCACCTAGAGAAACCTTTCCCACAGCTTTGGCACACATACGGTTTGCCAACCGAGCCATCGTGGGACCGAACATGGTACGACATCCGGTCCTTGCGCTTGAACCTCAACCCGCACACAGGACACGCATAGGGCTTCTCCCCGGAGTGGGACAGCTTGTGTCGGTTCAGGTGATACACGTCCCGGAACACTTTCCCGCAGATGTCGCAGCCCACATGCCGCCTGGTCCGCTCCCGCTTGCGGTGGCTGTCCAGCGCCAGCCCTCCGGGTAACTGCATCCCGTTTTCCAGCAGCCCGGGTTGCGACAGCAGAGACAGACCGCCTCCGAGGCTGTGGACGCCCCCAGTGGAGGCTCCATGTTGCGCTTCGTGGTTCTTTAAACGAGAAGCTTCTGTGAAAGCTTTGCCGCAGGCCCCGCAGGGGAAGAGCTGCCCGTTGTCCTTCTGGTTGATGTGATTAAAATGGACAGCCTCTTTCTTCGGTCTCCCCCTTCCCCGTTTTGATCCAGGGGAGCCAGCTTCGTGATGAAACATGCTCCCCGCGATTTCCGCCGACGGACACACGGAAAGTCCTTCAACAACCGGCTCCAACATCGGATCCCCGCCGTTCTCCAGCAGCGCGGCCGGCGGCGCCTCTTCGCTCTCATCCATCCGCATCTGCGTGCTGCTCACAAAGCCCTGGCCGTTGATCAGCAGACCCGCTCCGTTCACAAGATCTTGCTGAGCTACGGGGAAACCCAGCTCGGTGGCCCCCATGTCCTGGAAGAGACTAGCTTCTCCTCCTCGAGCCGTCGGGACTAAGATCTGCACGTTGGACTGCTTGATGACCTCCTGACATATCTCGATGACGGAGCGCATCAGCAGAAACTTGGCAGCCGTCATCAACTCCGGGAAGCACTCCAACCGAACCACGATCCTGGAGGTATAAGCGAAGTCCAGGATGTCTTTGAAAACTTTCGGGCTGATCGTGTGCATCTCCAGCTCCTTGGCGTCGCCCTCTCCCTCCGTCTGACGGCCGAACACCGACTCGAAGTACTCGCTGCAGGCGGCCAGCACCGCTTTGTGAGCGGGGAAGCTCTCCTCGCCAACGCGCAGGATCACGTCGCAGAACCTGCCTCCATCTTTTCTCTGAATGTTAAGGTTGTGTAGCATCTCGGCGCTGTGCTTGCTCACCTGGTAGGTGTACGAAGAGGTCCAAGACGGCTCCGCTACCTTCTCCATACCGAATTCATCAAACAAACACTTTGCTCGTTGGCGTTGGACCGTCGGAGGAAACGAGTGATGGCGCTTTAACGGCCCCCGATAGACCGAGGCCAGCTAGCGAGAACAGCCCGAACCAGTCGCCCCTCCCGTCGCTTTAGCATCTACAGTTTACCGTTAGCAGCAGCAGCAGGGGAAAAATGGCAGCCCCCCAGCTTCCTGTGAACTTTGGCCCTGCTTTCTTGTAGGGTGGGGGTCGCTTTTTTTTGTTTTGTTTGTAAATGTTCATATTTTTTACACAAAATATATATATTTTTATTGTATCTGCCTCTAAAGTTGTTTATTTCGATATTTTGCACCGCAGGAGATTAATATAATTATTAGTATTGTTTATGTGGGTAAACATTTACACGCAGGTTTCTCTTCTTCCTCCTCTGTTATTGAAGCCCCTCCCCCAACCAGCCCCCCCCCCATACACACTTTTATTTTTTTCACTATTATTATTATTACAAAAGGAACATTGATCCACCTCAAAACCAAATCTTTTTCTTGAAAAATTCTGCCACAGGAAAATGTGTTTATATTAAAAAAATTTGTTTCTTTGGCTTTAGGTAGAATAGGCCTTTTAACAAATTTTAAAAAATTATTTATCAACTTCCAAGTAAATCTATCATAATCATTAAATTTTCCAGCTTTCAAAATACTAATGAATTTATTATTGCATTTTTTATCAAACAGATTGCATTGTGAAATAAACAAACTGGGCAATATTGGTGGGTAATTATCATATAACCTAGAATTTTTAATCAAGTGAATTAACGGCAGTGGAATCGATTTACGCAGTTTGTTATACTCTCTTAGAGGAACAATTTACATCATATTTAAAAAAAAATCTGAATGATTTAAAATATCGCTGTTATCATCCAATAAATCTGTAACATAAATACTGTCTTATTTGAGCCATTCCTTTTTGAAGATAGATTTACAACTGTTATTACTCTATTTTTCCATAGAGTTGAGCTATGGGGAGAAAAGCTGTGGGTGAAAATCATTTTCCAATTATGTAAAATCTGCTTGTGAAAGTCGGACATCTTAATTGGAATATATTGGAATCCGGTTTACCACAAAGTCCCATTTTAGAATAAAGTGTAAACCTCCTAATTTATCAAACAAGGATCTTGGAATGTCATACCACAACCCCTCCATACACAGATGCCCAGCTGAAATGAAAAATATACATATTAAAAGCATGAAAGAAATCCGGTCAAATTAAATGGAACTGCATCTGCATTTAAACATCACCCATCGACAAATTTAAATCTTATAAATTTTAATGGGTTAAATTAGAGCAGTGGTTCCCAAATGTTTAAAATATAAAAAGCTGATCAGAACTGTTATCCCAGATAATTCCACTAATGTCACATCTTTGTTTACTTATTAGTAAAAAAATTTTTCTGAAACCATGGCTTATTTCATATTGATTTTACAGGTTTGGCAGTAAAAAATAAAAAAATCTAAAATCCTTATATTTTGGTGTTTATATCTAAAACATTTAAAACACCACAAAAAAGCAGAAGGAAACTATTAGGTCATATTTACTAAGGCACTGTATGTCAGCTGTCAATCAGATTGCTTATAGGCATCCAGTGCTGGTATGCACATGACCATCCACTCCACACATCTAAATCTTCATTAGTTGTCCATCTGAAGTTTTAATTTTGATTCAGATCAGAGACCTATAGGGTCCTTTGAAAACTAACCTTTAGCTCTGATATTTGACTTTAACCCCTTTCCTCTATGTTTAATCCATCCCTTAAATAGCACTGGTCTGCCTAAATGCAGCCCTACCCTTTGGCGTTGTTCAGGGACCCACAGTTGTGTTGTGTGAAATCAAAACCATGGAATTTGCAGCATTCCCCAGACTGCTCTAACCACAAGGCCACCATTACATTGCACCATAAACTTTGTAACACAAAACAGATTTTGGTAATTGTTGAAAAGCTATTTGCAAGTCAAGCTGAATAAATCCACCCCTGGTTGTAAAGGAGCTGGTAGCTGATTATTCTTAAATGTGAATGGCCCAAAGGGCAGTTTTATTTGAAGGTTTACAGAGGGGAAAAAAAAAAAAAAAAAAGTCATTGCATGATGGGGCTCTTTTCTAGCATACAATCTGTGTGTTCAAGCTAAGGTTCAAAGAGTGAATAATTTAAGTTTTAAACCTAAAAATAATCAGTAAGTTCTATTAATAGCATCCAGTACTAAAACTTTGGCAATGAAGAGAAAAAAAAAAAAAAAAAAAGACATTAAAGCATCTGAAAAGAGCTCCTCCCCTTTGGTGAAGAGGCTTGAGATCAGTGAGGACACAGCTGAAATATTTCAGCCATGGTCATAAGTGTTATACCAATATCATTGGCAGTTAGGCAGGAGCTAAGAGATCTCCTGACATCCCTAGCTGTTGTTTGGAGCCATGTTATTGCCCACAATCCTTTGATTCATAGGAAGAATAGGCACAGCTTTACTCAAAGTGTTTGACATATGTATCATTTGTGGAATTTACTTTGACACATGCTGATGAACACTTTCACGTTTCGAGTTTTACAATGAAGAGCTCCAGTTGTTTTTTTTTAAACAAGGCTGTAGCTCCAGTTGTACCATTATGCGTTTGTCCACCACATAATGATGCCTGCATGGCTGAAGGCTGTCAGGATTCAGCACAGCAGTCTGTAGCTACCTTTCTACTCTGGATAAAGTGGACCTTGCAAAATGTGAAGAGATAGGAGCTATAAATTGATGTCTCTGGATGAAGCTGTTGCCTCTCAGCTGCCCTGGGAATGGCTCAGGCTTCTCCCAACAGAGCTGAAGGTTATGCCCCCATCATCCAGACCCAGATGAACAGAAGAAAAAGTACATTAAAAAAAAGTACCATCATAAGTTAGTTTACAAATGCAAAGCAGTCAATTGTTAGGTGGCAAAAAATCTGTTTCTATACATTTTAAAACCAGCATACCAGTATCAGATACAAAAATGATTTACCAACTTTTTTTTTTTACTCAAGGTTTTATTTATTATTTCTATTTGTGCTTATACCTTTACAGCACATTAACTGATTCCCAAACACCCTCAAATGACAGTGTGAGCAGTGCTGAATTCTGTGATACAGGACTGGAGAAAATACAGTGAACAAATTAAAGGGAAATGGGAGGGGCAGCATCCTAATAAGAAAAAAACAAAAAAACAAAACAAGGCACAACCATACCATTGCATCCTTCAGTGGTGTCATGCTTAACCTCTTTAGGTAACAGAACCACCGGTGACAACTCAAAGTATGGTAGAGTAGCTGACCAAATAACAAACTACCCTACTATTCGTCACCAGCAATCACTCGTCCTCATTGTCAAAGGAATAGGTCGAGGTGGAGACTATAAAGGAATGCTACCGGATTTGTCTCCCAATTCAAGTTCAACTATTCTCCCCCTCTCCAGATCAGGAAAACAAAAACCAAAAAAACAAAACACCACAAAAAACTACAGCTATATACACAGAATTAGATTCTCTCATCGTCTGTACAATCAATCCTTTACATTATTTACTAATAGAAAAAAGATAACCAAACTGGCAAAATAAATCTCCACTCCTCTTTTCAAAAAAAGCACCAACACAATGTCCCATTATCCACCATCTTTCAAATTAAAGTTCACATTTTCATGGTAAGCAGGAAGGGGAGATGGTGGGGCAGAGGGAAAATCTTGCTCTCCAGCAAATTATTCCCTTTTTATGGGTGGAACTCCAACTCATCTACACTGATGACTTTAGCTGGCATGGACGGCAGTGGCTGTTCAAGCACATCTGATCCAAACCACTTCGCAAGGCCAGGAGGAGGGCTAGCTCTGTGTCGCTGGGAGCCGTTTGTCCGATGGAGGCCTTGGCTTTGTGACGGACCGCCTGCTATGCCCGGATGCACTACAATAAGAATATACACAAGATTTAATATGAGGAACACATTTTGCCAAGCAGCTTTAGAAAAATTCAGCTGTAAAGCTTCTTTGCAATTATGAACCTAAACATTTTTTTACACCAAGTATAATTAATGTACTTACTCTGTCTCTGCCCCTGAAGCTGCTGATGCATAACAGCCAACTGCATTGGAGTATTGGCCCTGGGAGGTAGAAGCCCCGTTGCACCTAATGGGTACAGCGGCTGTCCCAACAGGGGTGGAGGTAAACCTTGAAGTTGCGCTAGGTCAACATGTGGTGGAAAAATACCTTGTGAAAAAGCAAAAACAGTTTGGTTAATGAATATCAGGACCTGGAGTGCTTTGATGGAAGCTAGGCTAGTTTAAAGACTGCAGGACAAACTACTAACTTGCTTGCATAAGGGCTGGTCCCAGCTGCTGGGGTTGAATCCCCTGGGCAAGCATTCTCTGAACCATGTTAGGGTGGAGCTGGGGATGAGGGCGCACCATCGGGACATGGGATAGAAGTGGTACTGGGTAGATTGGACGAGGAAATGATGAGTTCGGCCCTGCAGGCGCCACTGGAGGCACGTGATGTCCAGCGGAACCTGGCCTGAGGCGCTCTTGGTCTTTGCTTTGCGAGTTTATCTTTACTGCAGCCGACTGTGCAACATTAACATCCACCGACTCCAAGAGGTGGTTTGGAGAGCTACCACCTGCAAGCACAAAAGCCTTAGTGTTCCATCACCATTGAGAAGGACGGAGCTTATGAAGCAGATGCTGTGTACCATCTTGTGAGTTTGCGGTCGCTTCCTCCTTAGGTTCTGAACGACCTGACGGTTCATCTTTGCTTTTCTCTTTGGTTGCGTACATTTTACGGATCACAGATGTGGGTGTAAACGATGGCGATAACTGAAATCGAGAAATATCAGAAGATCGTAAAATTGCTAGTACATTTTCCTCCAAAAGACCTGAGGAAAGGAGACAAAACTTTATGCTCACCATGCTAGTGACGGCATTTCCCGGTGACGTTCTTCCAGCAGGCTGAGGTCCAGGGGAACGAGAAACGCGCTGTGGCCTATTGAGCAGACACATTTAAACCATTTTAAATCCAAGGTTTGCATAAATCAAATATTTAGATTTTTTCACAAGTCATACACCGTTTGCACAGTTGGGATGTTTGTAAGATTCACTTTATTACACAGTAGTGCTCATAGCCAAGCTCAAAGTAAACTAGAAAAAGTTGCATTTCCTGCGAAAATGCAGTGTGAATGCTGTACG